ATATGAGAAAATGAAAAAAAGGAAGCAAAGTCTTTGTAAATAGGGAGGGATGGAGGGGTTGAAGGGAGGGCAGGGGAAGGGGGAAAAAGTAAGAATCAAAAGGGCCGGGGATTTAGCTCAGTGGTCTTGCCACCTGCTGTGCAAGCGCAAGGACCTGAGTTTGATCCCCAGTACCAAAAAAAAAGAAAAGAACCAAGAGAGTATGTAAAGGTGCATATCTCCAGTGATGAATGTCATTATATTTTACACCTAAAATGTACCAATAAAAGGATATAAAAAAAAAAGAATTTGAAACCAGCTACCTTGGTAGTAATCACATTTCATATTTCTGAAATGGCCAAATAAAATTATTTCCATTGAGATTTAAGAGTGTAGTTCCTTGTGGTTTTATTAACAATGACGTTTATCATAAACAAAAAAATCACGTAATGTTGATCTAATTGGACAAATTAGGGCACTTTTTACATGCATTTTTAAGATTTTGATATTATTTTATTGGTACACTTTAGGTATACAATATAATGACATCTTTGTCATGCATTTTGAATATAAGAAGTTACATATTAAATTTCACAGCATCAGGCCTACAGTCCAGATTTAGACTAGTTTTAGGGCCAGCTAGACTGAGGAAACAAAGACCTGAATGTACATTTGCTGGCATTTATTCAGAACCTGGATTAGTAACATGAACTAGTTGTAAATTATCCTCCAAATTCATATTTTCAAGTCATTTAAACTTTCTTTTCTACTTTTTCAATCCCACATACTCAAAAGATAGATATATTTCAGTAGCTGCTTTTAGTTTTCACAAAAGAGGTTAGTTGCTACTCTATCATACAAAGAGCCTTTGATGAAGAAGAATCTGTTCCCTCAAGCTCCTGATTGTCTTTCTGCAACATCCTTGTTGCCACTTTCTTTTGTTCTCCCTCATGTTTCAGTGAAAATGAAAATGCTCTCTTTCAACATACATTTTCTGAAAGATGTTTTATAAATTATTAACACCTTTTGGCTCAAACTGAGTTTTCCTGCCTTTTCACCTTCCTTTAGAACCCCCTTATGCCTTGATACCTAGAACCATGGGATTGAAAAGTCTAGCTTCTGGTTCTCCTTCAGGCACTAATTAATAGAAAAGTGAAAATTGCATTGTTTTCTCTAAGAATATTTTGGGAAAATTAAAAAGTAATGTCTGAATCTTAGTGAAGTTTTTGTTGAGTAGCTTGACTTTCTAAATATTACTCATATATCAGAAGAATTTTACGTGCTAATGTGCAGTTTGGATAATTTATTAACCTAGGAAGCTTCCTTCTGTTTTACATGATAGTGGGTACAAATTATTCTAGCTGTAGTCAGAATTATGGAATTCTGAATTTACAAATCTTAGAACCTGTCAATAGTCTCTTTTCAGAACCATTAGAATCAAGCTGTTAACCAAGATACAGGAGGCCTACCTAATGCATGTTTAGAATCAGATTCATGGAGCTGGGCATGGTGGCACATGTCTGTAATGCAAGCATTTGGGAGGCAGAGGCAGGAGGATCTCTGTGAGTTCAAGGGCAGCCTGAATTAGTGAAACCCTGTCTCAACAACAAACAAACAAAAAAATCAGATTCATCAGATGCTAACAGAACAGTCTCTGTTTTCATAGTCTGTGAGTTAGTACTGTACTTATTTTTCCGTAACATTCATTCTTGATCAGTCAAGCTGGTATTTTGAAGACGGGTTTTTTTTTCTTCCAAATAGTTGCATCATTATTTTATTTTCCTGCTTTCATTAGAATAATGTAAAATAAAATATTTATTTTTATACTTCTTCCTACTTTACCTTTCACCCACATTTTCATTTGATCTGATAGTCTAGGCCTCCTATTCATATTTTAAGTCATTTAACTGTAGTTATCAAAAAATTCCTGTAAATCTATACAAAATGTACAGAATCAGACAAAACTTATTTTTTTAGTCATATGCAACTTTATTTTTTCGTGGCGCTGGGAATCAAATCCAAGACCTTGTCCCTGGTAGGTGAATGCTCTATCAGTGAGCAGCATCCCTAGCCCCAGAGCCAGTAAGTTTTAAATTTAAATGCGAATATAAACTGTGGAATTATTTAACATAAAATTACAGTTTGTTTTAGTACTGGGAAGGACTCTGGTATTATCCTATCTAATCTCATTTGATAGTTTAAAGCAAGCAAGTTTATATTAAGAACAATCTTTACTTTGTATCCTTTTAAAACAGGATGTCAGCTGCAATGAAATTCAGACTATACCTTCTCAAATTGGTAATCTGGAGGCTTTGCGAGACCTTAATGTAAGAAGAAATCACTTAGTACGTTTGCCCGAAGGTAAGAAACTGTGAAGTAATTGCCTACTATCTCTTTATTTTTAAAGACCTCAGACTGATTGGCACAAGACAGAAACATTTAAGTTAGGGCCAGTGTTTGAGATCTGATGATTTAATAGTGTTATCTGTACTATTGTAGATTTTTAAGGACTCTTCAATGAAAAATTTTGTTCTGTTTCAGTACTGGTAATTGAATTCAGGGCCTTGTATGTGCTAGGCAAGTGCTGTACCACTGAGCTGTAATCCTAGCCCCCAGTAAAAAGTTTTGATAACTTTTTTTTTTTTGGTACTGGGGATCAAACTCAGGACCCTTGCGCTTGCAAGGCAAGTACAGTGCCATTGAGCTAAATCCCTGGCCCAGTTTTGATAACTTTTTAACCAGTGATTTTGTTTTTATGAATTATCAGTTGATGTAAATGATAACTCAGGGTAGGGCCACTGGAAATTTCAGTAAGCATGACTATGGGAGAAATGTAGTGTTTTAATAAGAGAATAGTCTCATGTAATGAGACTAATCATGAAAAGCATTCTTATAGTCTCATGTAATGAGACAAATCATGAAAAGCATTCTTATAATCAGCACTGACTTAAAAATGGACTTTTGAGCTGAAATTAACTATATCCTTGGCTGCAGATGAGGTGATGTACATAGAGTGCATAATGCATGAGGGGGAGACTGCACCCGGAGACTCACTGTCTTAGGCTGGCTGTAAACTCTAGTGTTTGTATCCGAATGGCAAAATGATTAAACAAATTAATTTATCAATCTTTCACATACACAACTTCATGAAGAAAGCTATAAATATAAGTGAAAATGGGAAGAACCATTATTAGACTCAAAGTACATTTAAAAACTTTTATTATAGAAAAGTTTATATATAAATGAGAGCCCCGAACCTCTATGTAACCTCTGTGTAGCTACAGAGGCCACTCTGTTAGCTCATGGCAACTCTTATTTCATTTATTCTCTCACTTTCCCCCAGCTTATCCTTTAGATTAATTTGAAGCAAATTCCAGAAATTCTTTCAGAATATACTTAAAAGATAAGGGCTGGGGGTGTAACTTGAGGCCCTGAGTTCAGTTCCCAGTACCAAAAAAAAAAAGATAAGAAATTTTCTGAAATTGTTCTCATGGCACTGATTTCTGTTCTTCAAAACATTTCATAATTACATTAAGTAAGTTAACTAATGACATTCTGCTTTCACTGTAGAATCCAATCATTTAAACCACTTTGATCTAGTATCATATTTAGTTCTAACATAGAAGTGTATTTTTGCCATTTTTGATCCTAAATAAACATGTAAGAAAATGATTTTCCCATTTCACCTTTATCCACTATTACCAAACTACCCAACAGCTTACACATCTTTCCTTTCACGAAACTTGTTCAGTAAACTTCACATCTTTTATCTTCAGGGCCCTTTTTATTTCCTCTTGGTCTTTGCTACCAGCTCAGGAATGTGACTAGAACAAAGGTCATGACATATGACCCAGTAACCCCAAATCCAATCTAAGATTAGCTGGAGAAACCCCTGCTATGGTTGATCTTTTAAATCTTAACTCATGTAATAGGGCCAGGAATTTAGCTCAGTGGTTCCACCACCTGCCTCACAAGCGCAAGGTTCCAAGTTTGATCCCTGATACCAAAAAAAAAAAAATTATCTCTGTTTCTTTTGCCTGGGATTTAGCTCAGTGGTTCCACCGCCTGCCCCCGAAGCGCAAGGACTCGAGTTCAGTCTCCAGTACCAAAAAAACAAACAAACAAAACCTCATGTAATAAAATTTACTAATGTGAGGTCAACTAAAGGAACCAGAGGTTTGGTTTTTTTTTTGGTACTGGCGATCAAACTCACGTCCTTGCACTTGCGCAGCAGGTGGTGAAACCACTGAGCTAAATTCCCTGCCGTAAGGAACCAGAGTTTTCATAAAAATGAAAACTAGGGGTTTTAGATGACAATTACAATACAATATAATAGTTCCACCTTCCGTCTTCTACTTTTTTTCCAGATCTTATTTTGACTATAACAAAATTATGAATCATCCAGGTAGTTTTTAAATGTTTTTTCATAACCGTTTTGTAATATCAGTATACACAGTTACACTGAGATAGCAAGAACTTTATTCTAATAGTCACCCAAGTCCATGTTAATTAATAATCTCGAATATACTGAAGTTTGGTAGATAACATGTTATATCTTTGTTACCTTTCATTTTGACTTTAATTTTAATTTTTACTAAATAATATAGTACATCATTCAAAAAGTACCTCAAAGCCTAAAATAAATAATAATATTACCCTTCTTGAGATCTCCCCACACCCAGTTTCAATGGCTAAAGGCATCTACCTTCATTAAACTTCGATTCTTTCCACTGATATTTACTGATACACTTCTAAAAGGTCCATATATCTATGACTGGGCTTGTCAACTTTGACACTTATGTTCATTAATAGATAAAGATTTTTATTTCCTTCCATCATCACTGTATTACACCTTTACTTCTCTTCTCCCATCTTCCCAGTGGTTCTGTCACAACTTTTGATTAAATCAGGGCTGGTAGAGTGCTTGGCTAGCATGCACCAGGCCGTGGTTTCAGTCCCTAGTACTGCTCCAAAAAATAAACAAAAAATTAGATCCTTATTCAGTGTTTACATTAACTCTGTAAATATTATTTCCTAAGAGTTCAAGTGATGTACTCTGATTTCATTTTCTTTTTTTAAATTTCATTTTCTTTCTTGCATATTTTGTTGTTGCTGTGTTCTACTGTTAATAATTCATCTTTGCTTATTTTTTTCTGCTGATTTCCCTTGAGCCAGTTTTCTTTCCTTTTCTTATCTGGGCAGCTGTGTTCTAGTAATCCTGCCCAGCTTGCTCAGCTGCATGTTGAATATAGTTCAGTCATTCCTGGACTCCACATACTTCGTTTTCTTCGTTTATTCTGTTTTCCTGGAGGACATCTTCTAGTAGCTTCCTGAGAATGTTGTTGTGAGAGAACATTTTTTTTGTTTGAGACCTCACTTGAAAGGACATATCTTTAGTCTGTGCTCTTGATTGATTGATAATTTGTGTGTAGATTCTTGGTTGAAAACTGTTTTCTCTTAAGGATATTTAAGTTTTTTTATTTTAGCTTTCAGTGTTAATTAGTAATCTCGAATACACTAAAGTTTGATAGATAATATGTTATATCTTTCATTGTTAAAAATAGGTGGTGGAAAGCATGCCATTTCTCATTCTTCTCCTTTGTGATCAACTTCTTCACTCCGTAAGATTTTAAGATCCTCCCTTTATTCTTGCTGCTCTGAGCTTTTATGATGATGTACACAGTAGGAGTTATTTTAACTCATTCTGGATACGTGGTGGTATTCGATGGTCTTAGATCTCTATGATAATTTCTTTTCTTCCTCTCTGTTCATATTTTGGAATTGAATGTTAGACCTCTTTGATTTGATTTTTTTCTATCTTTATTATTGTTCCCTTTTTTGTGATTTTGTCATTACTAGTAAAATAGTTCCAACCGTACTTGTTTGTTTTTTGTTTTTGTTTCTTTGTGGGGTTTTTTTGGTGGTGGTTTTGGGTTTTTTGGGGGTTGGTTTGTTTGGTTTTTTGAGACAGGATCTCACTTTGTAGTTCAGGCTGGCCCTGAACTCACTGTGTAGTCCAGGCTGGCCTTTAACTCTTGGCAATCCTCCTGCCTTAGCCTCCCAAGTGTTAGGATTATAGCCCTGCTCCACCACACCAAACCATTCTTACATTTTTAATTTTAGAAATTCATTCTGAATTTTATGTTTCTGCAGTCAAATTTTTTATAACTCTTGTTAGTCTATGATTTTTTTTACAAGAGTAATCTATGATTTTTTAAAAATCCCTTCCATATTTCAGTGATTTGATATCTTATTTCTCTGAAATCAGTGATACTAATTCTAACTTTTCAAATCTTCCTTTTGCTTATCATATAGTTAGTTATTCCAGCCAGGCACGGTGGGCACACATTGTAATCCCAAAACTCTGGGAAGCTGAGACAGGAGGATCACCAAGTTTGAGCCCAGCCTAGGCAATTTGGCAAGTTAGCAAGACCCTGTCTCAAAATTTAAAATTAGCCCAATATGAAGGCCCTGTGATCACTCCCCAATACAAGCATAATAATAATAACTTGATTTTTTTCCCTTTTTTGTTGGTTAGTTGGATTTGATTTCTGTCATGTGTGTTGGAGGCTTCTCTAAAATTTTTGTGGATTATATACTGTCTGTGTGCAATAGAGTAAAAGTTCTGAAGGTGTACTGGGCAGAAATTGTAGAAGGGTAATTATGCAGCAATTGGATTATTTTATTAGAAATTTCCTGTTGATATCTAAAGGGCTCTTGTACGAGACTGCATATTTTCTTCAAAGAAAGAATCTCCATTTTTTTCTGTGTTGTTAGGTGAATTCATAAGTGCTGGCCTTCAAGATGTGGGATGAGGTGGGGTGTGGTGGTAGGCACTGAGGGATGGCCCTAAAGTGTGGAGACTTCTACCTCAATCCTCCCTTTTCAGCTGATTTCACGTTGGTCCTGGAGACCCTCCACTGAGACCCTTTTTGATTCTCTTTGTCTAGTGAATAACTTGTGACTCCTATAGGGATTAGAGGAAGCTAGTTTGGGACCTAGACATCTAACTCCTCTTACATAAACTGTCATCTAATAACCTTTTTTTGTCATATTGGGGCCTCCAGCTTCTGAGAATTTTTTTGGCTTTGTGTGGGGTCAGATTGTTTAATTTTTATTAGTATTATGTGTAGATAACTAGATTTTAATTTACACCACTTTGTTATATCAGTCACCAAGAATGGAGATAAATACCTGTTAAATCCACCGTATTTAACTAGAAGCTTATGTAAAAATTGTGTAGCCCTAAAATAATCATTAATTGTTCATTTCCATTTACCCTCCCATGCAGAGCTTGCAGAGTTGCCTTTGATACGTTTAGACTTCTCCTGCAATAAAATTACATCAATCCCTGTTTGTTACCGGAACCTCAGACACCTGCAGGTGATCACCCTAGATAACAACCCACTGCAGTCACCTCCTGCACAGGTAAACCACAGTGCAAACAGGCTGTGGACTTTTTTTTGACAAAGGATAAAATGTAATTATGTGCATTTATCTGTTGTAAATTAAGTTCTTTTAAAATTAATTCACACACTTCATATTCTTTAGAAGCCTTGAATAAATGGGATGGGAGATGGGTAATGTTCCCAGAAGTGTTTTTCCTTTCACTAATTCGTCATTTTTTAATTTAAGGAATTTTGAAATTGTTCTTCTAATAAAAATTTGAGCCACATTTGGTAGCACATACTTGAATTCAGAAGGCCGAGGCAGGAGGATCACAAATTTGAGACTAGCTTGGGCAATTCAGTGAGACCCTGTTTCAAAATAAAATTTTAAAAAGGCTGAGGATATAGCTCAGGGATAAAGCACAGGGTTTGATCACCAGTATCAAAAAAAACCCAACTTAACTTTTCTTAATTTTCTTCAAGTGAAAATTGAATATAAAGAACATAAAGGTCAGAGACAAATAAAAATACCTTTCCAAAGTAAAGATTATCAATGCATTCTTATTACCGTTATTTTTTGTGCTTTTTGCTTTCTAAAATCATAACCTTTTATTTAGCCAGTTTATTCATTTGACAGTCATGAAACTAATAATAGCATAATTATAAGGTGGGTTTACATACAGATCCTAGACATCCTACAGTCTATAAAATGTTTACCAAGCCATAATTTTCACTGTATCTATTTTTTAAACTGTGCAATTTACTGATGATTTTATACATTTATAGTAGTCTTAATGGTGTCTATAAAACTTATGTTTAAACTTCATCAGTTTAAAGAATTCATTTAGATTTGTGGTACAGTTAGCAACAAAAAGATATATATAACTTTGTCATCATTACCTGATCCTCTCCTACAGAAAGCAGGTTCAAAGGCATAATTATACAGTTATTAGATTTCTAAAATCAAAAGTTGTCAGCATAATGTATTAAAGAAAAGTTTTAAAATTCCTGAATATGCATTATTAGTGTGATAAATGTACTTGGTATTCTAACAGTGTTTGTAACATAGATTGTTTCTATGTTGTTAAAACTTACTAGTGACTAGAAAACAAAAATATATTTGCTAGTTAAATAAAATAGCACTGGACCAAATTATATATATACATAATATGTATATTTTATGTATATATAATTTTTTTTAAATGGTACTGGGGAATTGAGCGCAAGGGCACTCTACCACTGAGCTACGTCCGTAACCCTTTTCTAAATCTTTTATTTTGAGACAAGGTCTTGCTGAGTTGTCCAGGTGGGACTTGAGCTTGTGCTCCTCCTGTCTCAGCCTCCCTGAGTGCTGGGATTGCTGATATGTGTCACTGCGCCCAGCTAGAATTAATTGTTTTAACGTTATACCACATACTTAATAGAAATGTCTTTTAGTTCCAATTTACATTACATAAAAAGTTGGCTATGATTTTACAAAAAAGAATTTGTGTGTTTCAGATGAGTAATCATTTTGTTGCATTTGTATACTGTTTTATTTAGATATGTATAAAAGGCAAAATCCACATATTTAAATACCTGAACATGCAAGCTTGTAAGATTGCTCCAGACCTGCCGGATTATGATAGGAGACCCTTGGGCTTTGGCTCCTGGTGCGTACATTCTGTTCTTTTGATCTGTCATATTCCTTCACATACAGAATCAAATAAACTGGGTCCTTAAATTCAGCCTAAAGAGAAATAACGTACTTTAGTATGTTATTCTCTGGATGCTTGTATTAAATGTAAAATTGATTACATAGATCTGACAGAGTTCTAAGTGTGGGTTTCTCAACCCTGATACTATTGATATTTTAGACCAGATAATTCATGTTGTAAAGGGCGGTCCTCTTGTTGTAAGAAGTTCAGCAGCATCCCTGACCTCTATCCATGATGTGCCTTAGGCACCTTACTAGTGTGACGGGCTGAAATGTCCCTGCACATTGCCAGGGTCCTCTGGTGGGGGCCAGTTGAAAAACATTAGTCTTAGTGGCTTGAATGCTAATCTTAGCTCTGCTGCTAACAAGCTCTGTGACTTGGAATTTGGGGTCAGCCTGGACTACACAGCAAGACCTTGTCTCCAAATATACATGTATTATACAGGAAGCTGGGGTGGAGGGTCCCTGGGATATCCTGAAACTGATTCCTCTTGGATAGCAGGGGATAACTGTATATATGATAATTATTTGAGCACCTCAAGAAACAATGAGCAAGATATTGTACCTTCAGGTCTTAGCAAAGGTGTAGACCAGTAAAACTGCACAGTAGCTAGTCATTTATTTGTTCCATTTATTTGTCATGTTGGCATGGAGCCAGAAAGCCTTGGTTTTGGCTCCCTTTACTACCAGGCAATTCATTTAACTTCCAAACTTCACTTTCTTCAAAATGATCTGTACACTGTTTATACTTTAGCATTCATTCTGAGGATGAGCTGACCTGTGTCCAAAAAGAACTTAGCATACCATAAAGCCCCATATAAATGTTAGGCATAATAATCAGGCCAGGACCGATTTAGAGAGTCTAGCCTTGCAAAAGACAATATTTAATAATGCTCTAGCTCTTTGAGTGTTCAATATGCATTAGACACTATAGCATTTTCAGTCTTTACCTATAACTTTCTCCTTGTATGTAATATAAAAAAGCAAAATTTTTCACAAATCATTTCATGAAGATTACAGATTTTTAATTCATTTCCAGATGTAAATGTTTCCAGCTCCTTTAGTAAATTGCACTGTTGTGATAACTTTTGTTTTACAGTGGCAGTATTTTTGAGTATTGATTTATAGGACTAATGCTTTTTGCTGATTTTAAGCAGCTTTATATTACAGACTAACTACATTTATTTATGATGATGTGGCAGTGAAACTTAGGAATGACTAAGTGTTGATAGGAAAAGTCCTGTCTCTGTAACCCCACCAGTGGAATGAATTCTCCCCAACAAGTCTGATGTCCTGAAAGTATTGGCATGCTTTATTCATATGTATGTTCTTAGCACCCAGAACATGATGTGACATTCAGTAAATGTTGGATGAACTACATGCAAATGAAATAGACTTTGCAACTTGTAATAAGAAATGCTCTGTCGGGCTGCTGTCTGCCTTGCAAGCGCAAGGTCCAGAGTTTGATCCCCAGTACCAAAAAAAAAAGAAATGTTCTATCACTAGATGTGGTCCTGTATACCTGCGTGTAATCTCAGCATTCAGGAAGCTGAGGCAAGAGGATTGCATTTTCAAGGCTAGCCTGGCCTTCCTAGTGAGACCCTGCCTCAAAAAAAGGCCGCCCAACTCGCTCTCTATATTAAAGGTGTATTCATTATTCATGGAATTAATAATAACTTCTATTTATTGCTTTGTATCAAGCTTTGTACAATTCCTTAGTTTAAATTTTCTGAATTAGTCTTAATAGGAACTCCATAAGATGGTGGTATTTATTTGTTCTTAGTGAGGAAACTGAAGTTGAAGAGGTTAAACAAATTGATGAAATTCATAGTAAGTGGTGGTATCAAATGTCAGTCCAGCTCTGTTAGACTATAAAAAAGCCACATTGTGAGCCCCACTGCACTACACTCATTTATCTTCTTACTATAGAGAAGGCACTCATGTATTTGAATCTGTGTTATGCTAGGTAGTTTGACGGGGCATAACTAGAGCCTGACAGAACTCTGCCTAGCTTTCTTAAGGTTTTTTATGTAGGGTGACCATAGAAAACAATTACATAATATTAAGAAGTGTTGTTCAGCAAACCTTGAAACAAATGCATTTGGGTTTTTTGCCTTTTTTGATGGTGGAGGGGGGGCTGGGAATCGAACTCAGGACCTGCACTTGCCAGGTAGGTATTGCACCACTGAGGTAAATCCCTGGCCCACAAATGCATTTGTTTTGGCAGGTGCAGAAAAGGATTTTTTAAATGTGGTTTATATTTCATTAGAAAGCTTCTAAAATTAAACACCTGGGCTTGGCTTTGCTGTGATAAAACACAGTTCTTAGGTCTGGACTCTAAAACAAGCATCAAGACCGTTCATAGAGACATCTCACGAAACATTGACTTAACCACTGACCGTTGGGAGAGCAACGTGAAAGGCCTAGAGATCCTCCCTGTACTACTTTCCCAACTTCTGTGTAGACATGAATTTTTTTTCAGACTATAAAGTTGGGAAAAATATTTTAGAATTACACCAAAAGGTTTTTTTGCTTTTCTGTTCTTAGTTTTGGGGTACATGATTTTTGTGGGAGTGAATAAAAAATGAAAGACAAAGCCGGGAATGGTGATACACTCTTGTAATCCCAGCACTTGGGAGACTGAGGCAGGGTGATTCCATTCTTTTTTTTTTTTTTTTGGTACTGGGGATCGAACTCGGGTCCTTGTGCTTTCAAGGCAGGCAGCAGAACCTCTGAGCTAAATCCCCGGCCCTGAGGCAGGATGATTGCTATGAGTTTGAGGCCAGCCTCAAACATAGGCTACATCACCACTTCTCGGCCTTTTGGCTAAGATCAAGTGTAAACATAGGCTACATAGTGAGCCTGACTCCAAAAACCAAAAAAAAAAAGGGAAGAGAAAAAACAGAAACACAGCCAGGAAGGTACTTATGTTTTTGGATCTTTATAATCAGTACTTGTTTGGTACATTGGGTAAATAGGTCTGTATATTATTACCTGTAAACTATAATCTTCCAATAAAATAAATGACAAGTTCTAAAAACTTATATTCGCATATGGGTTTATTTTGCTTTGGGTTTACACAAAGCTTTCACTTAGTGAAAGGCAAATGAATAGAAAGGGTTTATTCTCATTTTATGAAGGTTAAGTGACTTCATTGAGCTAATAGTTGATAAGTACTACCCAACTATTATTTTCATGTTCTGTAAAATCCAAGGGCATTTCTGTTTTCCTGCACCTTAAATTCTGGTACACTGTGACAGCATGACATTAAATTCATGTAAGAATATATGGAAGGGGCTGGGGATTTAGCTCAGTGGTTCCGCCGCCTGCCTTGCAAGTGCAAGGACCTGAGTTCGATCCCTGGTACCAAACCCCCCCCCAAAAAAAGAATATACGGAATATGAAACTTAATATCAGGAGAACAATATTTTAAATTTGTACTGTTGAAAGTTGCTTTCCAATTTAGGCAAACTTATTAGATATACTGTGTTAGTTACTTTTCTCTTGTTGCTGAGACAAAATACCAGACACCCAAAGTTAAAGGGGAAGGGGTTTGTTTGGCTTACAGTTTGTAGAGGTTTCAGTCCATAATCAGCTGGCTCCAAGGCAGGGACGACAAACAGGCATGGCAGAGCAGAAACAACATGGTACACACAAGGCAGCAAAGGTAACAAGAGTTAACAGCATCTCCCTGCCTCTTTTATCTTATTCAGACTACTTAGAGTGGGTAGCACTCGTACCCTTAATCCTAGTGCCCTTGAGCCTGGCATTGCACCATGAATCAATTCCAGCTTCACACATTTTAGATCCAGCCTATGACCACGTGAGGCTTTGGGGGGACTTCTAGACCTCAACCATAACAAATGCTAATAGACTATTTTTTTAAAACACAGGATTTATCATGTTTTGGAGTTCTCATTAAGCTAAATTTTAAAAGTATATTTAAGGGCCAGGGATTTAGTTCAGTTGTTCTGCCGCCTGCTTTGCAAGCAAAAGGTCCCAAATTCAATCCCCAGTACCAAAAAAAAAATTAAAATTAAAAAATAAAAGTATATTTAAGAACAAGCAAAAACTAAAGCTATGAAACTTTTAAAAGAGATAATAGGTTATCCTTGTGACTTGTGACACAGAAAGCACTAACCATAAAAGAAAGAAATAATAAATTAGATTTTATCAAAATTTTAAAAATCTACTCATGAAAAGAAAATGTTTAGAAAATGAATAGCCAAACCACAGACTTGGAGAAAATATTTGCAGTGCATGGATGAGACAACTGCCAGGCGTGGTGGCGCATACCTGTAATCCCAACACTTGGGAGGCTGAGGCAGGAGGATTGCTGTGTGTTTGAGGCCAGCCTGGGCTATATAGTATACGGCAAGCCTGAATTACATAGTGAGACTCTGTCTCAAAAAAACAGAAAAACAAATGTGACAACCAACTTGTATCCAAATAAAGAATACCTACAGTTTAAAGATTGAAAAAAAAACAAAACCCAAGCTGCATATGGTGGCACATTCCTATAATCTCAGCACTCACTCAGTGAGGCTGAGGCAAGAGGATTGGAAGTTTAAGCCCAGCCTGGGCAACTTAGCAACTTAAGAGACTGTCTCAAAAAATATATATATATATTAAAAGGGGTTGGGAACATAGCTTGGTGCAAACCCTTGGGTTAAGTCATAAACACAAACACACAAGCATGGACACAGAAGAGAGAAAAAGCCTATTGAAAAATGAACAAAAGAACAGACTTGTTCACAGAGATATATAAATGGACAGTAAGCACATAGAAAAGTAGTCAATGTCATTAGTCATGGTAGGAAATCAATGCAAATTAGGTCACTGGATGTCAGTACACACCCCCTGGAATGACTGAAATTAAGAAAACTGACCCCGCCAATTATTGGTGAGGATGTGGCATCAACTAGTGCTCTGATACATTGCTTAAAGCATGGTATGTCCACTTGGGCAAAATAGTTTAGCACTTTTGTGAAGTTTTGTAACAGCTCTATTGAGATCATTTACAAACAACAAATTTACCTGTTTCAAATGTGCAAAAAAAAAAAATCAAGTGTGCAGTTCAGTTAGTTTTGGTAAGTTAATAGTTGTTAAGAAAATACCAGTACAACCAAGATATGTAACATTTCCATTATCCAAATGTCCCTCTACACTGATCTGCTTTATGACACTAGTTTTGCCTCTCTAGAACTTCATCTAAACAGAATCAAAGAGTATGAACCATTTTGTGTGACTTTTGCTTAGCAAAATATTTCTGAGATGCATTGATTTGCATTTTAAAAATGGACAATAATTTTTTTGTTTTTGATACTAGGGATCAAACTTGGGACCTTGTGCTTGGAAGGCAGGCGGCAGCACCAGACAATAGTATTGATGTCTATCTATAACCCATCTTCATTCCCCCACCCCACCCCGGTACCAGGGATTGAACTCAGGACCTTACGCTTGCAAGGGAGGCGCAGTGCCACTGAGCTAAATCCCTGGGCCCCCCATCTTCATTTTTTGACATTTTTTTTTCCATTTTTGGTACCGGGGATCGAACTTGGGACCTTGAGCTTGCTAGGCAGGTGACAGAACCACTGAGGTAAATCTCCAGCCCAACACAGCTACTTTTGAAAATGGGTTGATGGGTTTTTTTTAAAGTTAGACCTACACTTACCATATAAACCATTTATTTTACTCCAAGTTATTTACTCAGAGTAATGGAAGCACAGTCCTTATAAAGATTTATTTACTAATGTTCTTGGCACTTTTAGTCATAGCAGCCAAAAACTGGAAACAACTGAGTGTCTATCAATAGAAAATGGATTTTTTAAATTACATATTCATTAAGTGGAATGTTAGCTGTAAGAAGGAATGCAAAAATACCATGAATCTCACTGACATGTTGCTGACCAAGAAAAAAAAAAGCCACAGAGTATATTTGATTCCATCTTTATAAATTCTAGAATAAGCAAAACTAATTTTATTCATTTTCTATTGCTGTCATAGGAAACTACCACAAACCTAGGTACTTAAACAATGCAGATTATTTTATATGATTCTATTCTGTAAGTTGGAAGTTGAACAACCTCTTTGGGCTAAACAAGGTGCTTGGAGGGCTATTCCCTCTCTGTGGGCTCTGGGTCAGATCTTGCCTTTCTCAGCTTCTAGAGGCTCTCTACAACTTGGCTTGAGGAACCTGTTCTCCATCCTCAAGCCAATATTGAATCTCACTGCCTTGCTCTCCCTCCCTCTTCCACATTTAAGGACACTTGTGAGCAGCAGTCTAAAGGCTGAGGAAGGAAAACTGTGACGTAGAAGCCAGAACACCAAAACCAAATACAAGGACATTTGTGATTATATTGGGCTTACTCTAAAATCAAGATAATCTCCCTTTTTAAAAACAAGGGGCCGGGGATTTAGCTCAGTGGTTCTGCCACCTGCCTCGCAAGCGCAAGGTCCTGAGTTCAATCCCCAGTACCAGAAAAACCCCATAAAAATAAGCTTACCAGGGGCTGGGGATATAGCTCAGCAGCCCAGCGCCTGTCTGGCAAGCATGAGATCCTGAGTTCAATCCCCTATACCAAAAAACAAAAAGGTCACCAGCAACCTTATTCCTATCTACAACCTAAATTCCCTTTGCCATGTCAGATGACATACAAGTTCCAGAGGCGAGGTCATGGCTGTCTTTTGATGCCAATATTCAGCCTTCCACACTAATTTAATAATTTAAAAGAAAATCAGAGCAGGGATTTGTACCTGAGGAATACGTAGTGGCAACACGAGGGGGAATTGACTGGGAAGGGATGAGCGAGCATTTTCTGGTAAAGTAGAAATATCCTCATGTGACAGGTGTATGGATAGGGATGCAGTGATTTGTCACAGCTAAGATCTGTGACATTTCAATGTATACAAATTATAAGGACTGAGCGCCATGAGAATGTTTATTAGTAAAATTATGTTTTATTTTACATTTTAATTTTAACATATCAAACTTTACAGTAAAAGTTAGTTTTTTTCTGGCAGCCATGAAGAACTGTACTCAGGTCGCCCTTATGGAGCCCTTGATTCAGGTTTCAATAGTGTGGACAGTGGAGATAAGAGGTGGTCAGGGAATGAGGTGAGTGTCTCTTCTCTTCTATATTGGAACTCCTGATTAAGAGAAAAAATGGTGAAAGGGAAAGAGCCTAGTTGGATTCAATTTCTTAGCACATAAAAAACAGTAAAGTCAAGGCAGAAACAAATCTCACATAGTCCTTCCATCCAGAAATGGTATTCTGGGGCTGGAGATGTAGCTCAGTGGTAGAGCATTTACCTAGCATATGTAAGGCCCTGGGTTCCACTGCTAGTACCACAAGAAAAAAAAAGTATTCTCTTTACCATCTTTTAACCATGTATATTTTACATGCTTATTACCTCCTTGTCTCACAAATAGTTTTATGTTCTGGAAAGCCAAACAAGAATTGCCAGTTAAATCTGAAGCCTACAGGTAGTCTGGAGTAGAGGTAGAAGGAATGCTGGAAGGCAAGGGAAAATAGGACTCCAGGCTGATGGGTAGAGGTGGGAGCCTGCTGAAGAATGTCCACATACTCAAAATTAGATTGCTTTTTGTTTCTGTTACCATTAGTTTTCTGCTTTTTGTCTTAAATTGGATTAAATGATTAAGCTTTTGTTAGCAGGGCTGATAATATCCAGTTTATAACATTGTTTCATTGAGAGTCCAAAGCAAATTAAATTTAAATCACAACCTGTTTATAATTTGGAATTGCTTGTGTACATATCTGTGGGTGGGTACATCCGTAGACACATATATGTAGATCACTTAAATCTGTGTATATATTTATAAAGTCCTGAATACCCTTATTTCTTCTTTTTGTTGACTGTGGTAGAATATCTATAACAGAGTTTACCATTTTAACCTTTTTTAAATGTTCATTTCTCTGGACATGGTGGCACCTGCCTGTTTTCCTGGTACGTGAGAGGCTGAGACAGAAGGATGTCTCAAACAAAAAAAAGTTGTTCCATTTGCATTAAATATATTCACATTGTTGTCTAGCCATCTTTGTTTTCTATTTCCAAAACATTTTTGCTGGGCTGGGGATATACTGCTCAGTGGTTACTTAGTATATGCAAGGTTCAATCCCCAGCACCAAAAACCAAAAACCCCTTTGCTCTTTCTTCCTGTATGTTAATTTTAACTGGGTTATATTATGCCCACACATAAACATTTTGGCCAAAATTGAAAGTGATTTTTTTAATGTTTTTGCTGGTTTTTAAGCCTACAGATGAATTTTCAGATTTGCCGCTTCGGGTAGCAGAAATTACTAAAGAACAAAGACTACGAAGAGAAAGCCAATACCAGGAGAATCGGAACAGTTTAGTTGTAACAAATGGTGGAGGTAAGCAATTCTGACGACATCTAATCTTTATAATGTCATTTTTTTGAAGCAGTCTTTTCCATGTCCACTCCTTTTGTGTATCTGTAGCTTTTTCACTGTTCTTTTCAAGACTTCTTATCGTATAATGACTGAAAAACATTGTTTTCTTCAGGGATGAAACTTCAGTTTCTCTGTTTTCAGGTTTGCAGTTAAAAACTTGTCTCTCTCATTCTTATTTTGGGAGGAAACTTTATTAGAGACAGTTTACCTGGAATACCTCTTTGAAGTACCATTCTCCCTTTTTAAAGGGATGATTTGATCTCTTGCAGGAATTGAGTGTGTTGCTTAATGTTTACCTTTTCTTTCAACTGGAATAATTCTCTTCAGGGCTTCTGAATGTTTTCCTTATTCTGGCATTTAAAACTTTGCAGTTGCCGAGCACAGTGGCGCACACCTGTAATCCCAGCACTTGGAGGCTGAGGCAGGAGGATCACCAAGAGTTTGAGGCCAGCCTGGACTACACAGTGAGTCCAAGGCCAGCCTGAACTACAGAGTGAGACCCTATCTGAAAAAATGAAAAAATAAAATATACCAATAAATTTTTTTTTAAAAAAGCCTTTTGAGGGGCCAGGGATTTAGCTCAGTGGTGCCACCACCTGCCTCGCAAGTGCAAGGTCCCGAGTTGGATCCCCGGTACCAAAAAAAACCCAAAAAACCTTTGCAGTTGTTTTTATTTTTATTTTATTTATTTTGGTACCAGGGATCGAACTTGGGACCTTGCGGTTGTCAGGCAGGCGGTGGCACCGCTGAGCTAAATCTCCGGCCCTGCAGTTGTTTTTATAGAACAAGCAGCTATCTTTCTGCTTTCTTGTATAGTACTTTTGAAATGAATTCTTAATTTTAGCATTCTGTTCCATATTGGTTTAGTTTAAGTCACCAAATCCTAATATTTTGGGGGATTATTAAGGATAAATGACTTATTTTGCTTTATAGGGAAAAGCTTTCATCTCTGATGGTTTTAAGTGGCTTGCTGTCTTTCTTTACCTCACCATCTTACATTCTTGATTCCTGTTACTTAACTATTCCATCTACATTTTACTAGTTTTAGTTTTCTTTTAAATTTTGCCCTCGTACAAGATATCTTTCCAGTCAGTTTGTTTAAGACATAAAGTAATTTCTGGATCTGTGCTTTTCAGTATGGTAGCCACTAGTCACATGTTGTTATTAAGCACTTGAAATGTTGTTTTCCTGAATGAAGATGTACTATAAGTGTAAAATACATCAGATTTTGAAGATTTCATAGGAAAAAAATATGTAAAATAATATCATATTGATTATATGTTGAAATGATAACACTTAGATATACTGAACAACATAAAAAATATTAACCAAGCACAGTGGCTCATACCTATAATCCCAACACACTAGGATGCTGAAACAGGAGGATCACAAGTTCAAGCCCAGCCTGGGCAACTTAATAACTTAATCCTAAGCTAGGCAATTTAGCAACCCTGTCACAAAATTAAAAAAAAAAAATGTTTTAAAGGACTGAGCTGGGAATGTATGTAGCTCAGTGTAAAGGCCCCCAATTCAATACCCAGTACCTCCCCCCAAAATTTAATATCTTTTCCTTTCTTTTTGGGGGGAGATGGGGGTGTGGATTGTTTTACATTACTGGGCTTGAATCCAGAACCTCACACTAAGCTACATCCCTTCTCTGTATATATATAACTATGTATGTACGAATGTATGCATGCTGAGGCAGAGTATTAAGTTGCCCAGACTGGTCTTGAACTTGTAATCCTCCTGCCTCAGCCTCCTGGGTAGTTGGGATAATTGCTGTTCACCACGACGTCCAGCTACCTTTATTTTTAATGTGGCTACTAGGAAATTTAAAATTACTTATGTGGCTGCCTTTTGTAGGTTGCATTTTTTTTCTCTTGAACTTCCCTGTCTAAATAGTATGAAAAAGTGGTGTTGCTCTCTTGTAAAATAGTCACAATATAAACTTTGTAGTCAGACAAATTATAACACATTGCAAAAAATGCATTCATATACCTGGTTTCTAATGTAGATGTAGACTTAGGACTTTTCATCCATTTTAGCTATGAAAAAATCCTAATAATTCAAAATTTATTTTTAATATTAATTGCAGCTGTAGAATTTTTTACAAAAAATTTAATCAGAAGACTAGATTGAGTGCCGGGGTTTTAGCTCAGTGGTGCTGTGCCCACCTTGGAAGCACAAGGTCGTGAGTTTGATCCCTGCTACCGAAAAAAAATAGAAGACTAGATTGAGAATTAGACTTCTCCAGATTCACTGTTCCCAGCAATTGCACTTACAAGCCACATATGAAACATCATAGAATAACAGGGTTTATTGCCTGTCTCAAGAAACCATCTTAGTAGCAAAGGGTTTTTTTTTAAATTCCTAATTTACCTTTTAAATATTTATTAAATGTAATTTTAAAACTTCAAAACAGTAGGACATTCTAAAACTTACTAGATGAAACAATTATGCAGCTATGTCTTAATAATATGCGTTTTTCACCCTGAGCATCTTGAGAAAAAAAAAAGATTCCTCAAATGATTTTCCTTTCATTCACAAATTGCTGCAAAATATCTACAAGCTTGACCTTTAGGGGTTAATTTTCTAAATAGGAAAATCTTTGTTCTGGTCATGGTTTTTTAAAAAATGTTCAACAAGGAAGGGAAGGGGGCTTGAGGGGGAGAATAAGATAAAATGAAATAATTTATTTTTTTTTAAAGTCTGACAAAAGTTACAGGAAGTGAAATGTTAGTAACTTTCTCAGCAAGTCCAGTTTCTTCCTCTTCTTTTTTCTTTTCTCTCTTCTCTTCATCTTCCTCTTCCTCTTCCTCTTTCTCCTCTTCTCTTCTCTTCTCTTCTCTTCTCTTCTCTTCCTTCTCTTCTCTCATTGGTTGGAAAAGACCCTTGCTGTGTTGCTCCCACTGGCCTCAGACTTCTAATGCTCCTGCTTCAGCCTCCCAAATAGCTGGGATTACAGGTGTGCACCACCAAGCATAGTTACTCTTTCTAGTTTTTATTGCCTTTACTTTCTTTTGGTTGACTGTTAGGTTTTCTATGTCTCAACCCTCAAAAGAGATATTATTAAGCCCTCCAGAAATTAAAAGATGTACCTTTCAGTTGTTAAAAATTAGTCTTCTCCTCTCTTTATTTCACAAACTCAAACTGTCTTGTTTAAAACTCTTAAGGAGCTATCCAAAAAAAACCAGGAGCTATCCAAAGAAATAAGAGGTCCGTATTTCAGTAATTACTATTAGCTTTCTTTAGTGACCTTGGACTAAGGTTTTCAGGACTTTTTTTGAAAGTGAGTGGACTATAAAACAAACTTTGTATCCTTCTTTCTGCTTTCAGAATAGAAACTATTGGGGGAAAGGAGAGAATATAATTTAACCAAATGTCTTTTATCGGCCATCTTATTTGAGTTTTTTCTCTGATGTGTGTGGTGTCTGCAGTGGAACACGACTTGGATCAGATTGACTACATTGACAGCTGTGCTGCAGAGGAAGAGGAAGATGAAGCAAGACAGCCCCGGGGCCTGGACTCTGACAGCCTCAGCTCACAGTTCATGGCGTACATCGAACAGCGGCGGGTCTCACACGAGGTGGTACACACTGAAGACTAAACATGTGCTGTCCCCTAGCACATGTTTAGGCAGTTCACAGTAGTATACGTTTCTCTCATACCAGCAACTTGTTGATTTAGGCCTAATTGTTTTATTATAATGTTTACTTCTAATTTTAGTCCTAAATTTTTTAGATTTATTCAGAAAATCTGACAGTAGTCTCAAGTAGAATTTAAATTTATTTTTTTAAATAACAGGCTTCGTAATTTTGAAGAAAGAGTAAAAAAAGAATCCTAAGAGTAACCTAAGGCCTTTGAAGAAAATACAAAGGAAGCAGATGCTTTCCACTGTTAGTGTCTTGGGGGTTTCTTTGTTGTTTTTTTTTTTGTTTTGCTTTTTTATTAAAACTAACTGATCAATCATAATGTGATTGATCAGTGTAAAAATTAAGCCAAAAAAAGTTGACTTTTGAGACAACATTCAACTTACCCGTAAAATTTTTATAATAAGCTTAATTATATTGGACCTTTTATCCTAAGTTAACAGAACATAAATTGTTTGCTATTAAAATTCTTGAAGTGAATCACCCTAGAAAACAAATGTCCATTCATCCCACTGCAGACTGCCAGTTCCCCCCGGGGTCTAAAGGAGAATAATAGCATTCTTCAGTGCCTCCAGTCAGCCTAATAAAATGGCTCCATCTTCATGTCTGTGATGTTGAAGTCTGGAGTTTGTCCCTGGCTTTGAGCAGGGGTTATTTGAGAAACACTTGGGGTCTTTTTGGAGAATGATGTATTTAGTCTTTCAGAAACAAATTAAGTTGGACATGCAGTAGAGTGATATTATCATTCTTTAAAAAGAGTCCTTTGGTTTTCCTGTTTGAAGGCTTTGAACACAGTACTTTTTGTCTGTACTCAGAAGACACTATTCAGAAACTGGATAAAGTTATGTAAAACAAATCCTGCAGCCCAAAGACAGCAATAGGCAGGTGATGGATGAATTACTTGTGGCTCAGGCTATTAGCCTCTTTGCTGGAGCAAAGAATTATTTTGCAAGAAAAGTAAAATTAACAGTGTCAAATTATAATCTTTTAAAATTGTTTTGTGGTTGTTCTCCTTGATCATTTTTTTTTTGGTACCAGGGATCGAACTTGGGACCTTCTGCTTGCAAGGCAGGCGGCGGAACCACTGAGCTAAATCCCTGGCCAGGGATCATTTTTTTTTTTTGGTACTGGGGATAGAACTTGGGTCCTTGCACTTGCACAGCAGGTGGCAAAACCACTGAGCTAAATTCCCAGCCCCTCTCCTTGATCATTTTATGGTTAAGTTATATAAATGAGGTATCTAATATAATTGAAAATGCTTATTATAAATACTATAATGAAAAATTATGCCACCATTTCTTTACTCCATTAGATGATATGGATAATAATCCATTTTATAGTAATATGTTTTTAAATTCTAAGTTATACAGTAATTTTTATGAATCAATGTCATAAGGCTCTTCATGATTTCTGTATCATAAAGCTTCCTAAATTTGGCAGTCAGTGAAATATGATGCAGTATTATTTTAGATGTTTTAACAAATAGTGGAAAAAAATCTTTTATATTTCTGAACACTATCTTTAAAAAACAATTATTAATACTAATTTGAGATATTAAACACTCTATTATTTAATTTTATTATAATTACACTCCCATACATACACCATACCTGCCTGAATAGATTATGACTTATACTTATTTTTAAATTAAATCGGTATCACATTTATTTTGCTATGAAAATTCTAGTACCTCTGACAGTAATTTTAGGTAGTTGCAATATCATAAGACCAGGGTGATTAAGTTACTGATATAACATCCTAGGAAAAATTTTTGCTTATTAAACAAAAAATGACATGGTCACTAAAATTAAAATAATTATTCTCTCATTAGGATTCCAGAATTGTGGCCCATTCAATCTGACTGTTATACCCAAATTTTAAGGCAGTCATCTTTTAGCCCTTTGGAGTAACTGGCCAAAGATTTTCTAGTTATATATGATATACTTATTTCTTGGAGGTAAACTGTAAATAGTTTTAAATTTGATTTTTAGTTATTCTTTTTAAATAAATTGTTTTCTTATATTTTCTTTATTGAATATCCATTATCATGATTATTTTTGGTGTTGAAATAAGATTTTATTGTTTCTGTAGATTCTCATCATACAAAGTATGTACTGTGCAAATCATTAAGACTCTGCCTTGGATTTCTTATTTTATTTTTTTAGTGTATGGTCCCTCTCAGTTTAGCCAGCTCAGTTTTCCTCAGTGATGGTTTTCAGAAATAACCTATAAGTTAAACTGCCAATAATATTTCTCTTTTAATTAACATTGTATTTTACCATACGAAAAAGTTACTTTTTGTTTTATCTTCATATGCCACCAATATCTTCAGGACTACTAGCTTGACTAAGGTAACAATTTGTGGTGGTGAAAAAGTAAAGAAACATAATCTTCCCCGTGAACTCCCAATTACAAAAGATGTTCAAAAAAACTGAACAAATGTTGGGGTAGAGTAGGTAGGAGTCCTGTGCTAGATAGACAGTTGTACCAGATGACCTCTAAGATCATTTCTTACCACTCAGGAAATATTACTGTATTGGGTCACTGTTATTTATCTAACACAGCAAGAAGGAAATCTGTCTTTAAATAAAAGTAGATTATTAATATTTTTATCAAAGCATGTATAATGTAGCCTGCAATTCTTTTAAACATCAAGTTCACATTTGAAGATTTTATTAAAATAACTTCATATAATATACAGATCTTTAAATGTAAAGTTGAATGTGAGTAGTGTAATCAGTGTTCTGGATGCATATTTTACATTGATCTGTTTATGCTCTTTTGGTCAGTGTTCACCAGTAAAGCCAGCAGCCATTAGGGAGTTTCAAAAACCAGAAGACATGAGACGATATTCACATCAAAACAGGTTTGAAAAACAATTCTACTTATTTCTTTCCATCTTAAATTTCAGTAATAAGGTGTCATTTGAGTTTTGTGCAGCTTTTAGATACTGTGCTATATACTTTAGAGACCATGTATTTAAAACTAAGTGACAGTGTGCTTTTGTGTTCATGCCATAAAATAGAGGTAAAATTGATTCATTCTAAATTCAGATCACCTAAACTGTTACCTGTACAATTAATTGATTTGAAGGTACTTAATGGCAATGAGATTTTGTAGTGATAATGTGGATTCTTCCATAAAGAGGGCTTAAAATGTTCCCTTTGGCTTGAACCAGGCAGCTCATACTGCTGGTGGTACAAACAGGTCTAATCACTTTTATCTGTCTTTTTACTAATAAAATTAATAAAAAGCCAGCTGATAGGATAGTCATGCATATACCACCAATGGCTCAAGCCTCCCAGCAATGAGACATACAAATTATGGCCCCATCATGAATGTATTAAAGATTTTCAGAAGTCAGTTATTTATTTATTTATTTATTTATTGACGTGGTTCTGGGGATTGAACCCAGGGAATGGTGAGGTACATCCTCGGCTCTCCACCCTACCCACTCCAGCCTTTTGAGGCAGGGTCTTGCCCTGTTGCCCAGGCCAGCCTGGCACTTTACAACCTTCCTGGCTCAGCCTCCCAAGTAGCTGGGATTACAGATGTGCACCACCAGTACTGGTTCTCAATTTTTTTTTTTAACTTAAAGTTTTTATTGGATAACTAAGAGTTAGAGACAGTGATATGCCTTCTTATTTCTAACTCAATTATTGTGACCTTTCTACCACATTTAGTGACTCTCTACTTGTAAAATTAGTTTGATTGTTTAGAATGGGGCATCTCATTCTTGAATTCTAAAAGGTTTCCTGCCATAAACTTTATCTCAATAGTTGAAAAATTTCCAACTTTTGGTTCCTTTCTGGGTTTTTTTTTGGTACCAAGGATCAAACTCAGGTCCTTGCGCTTGCAGGGCAGGCAGCGGAACCACTGAGCTAAATCCCCAGCCCGGTTCCTTTCTGTTTTTACTTAAAACAGTAGTGCTAATGTGCCTATTCTCTTTTTTTTTTTGGTACCGGGGATCGAACTCGGGTCCTTGCGCTTGCACAGCAGGCGGCGAAACCACTGAGCTAAATCCCCGGCCCTAATGTGCCTCTTCTTAAATGACAGTAAATATATTATGTAAAACTGTCATACATAGTTCCTTATACTTCATAGAATATTAAAATTATCTCAGGGACTCTGATACAGATAGAATGAAGAAACTGTGGAGAAAATAATGAGAGAAAAAAGTCTTATAACTTGACCCTTTGTAGTCTTAGCCCTTATTTCCTAAAAGATTTGGTTAAATTTTATATGCTTTGAAATTTATCTCAGAATGACTTCTTTGAGAATCCAATTTCTCACACAGGTTTACTATTACATTTTTGCTCACCCTGTCAGACCTAGCTTTATCTCCTTTTCCTCTCACCTCCTGAGTCTATCCTTGGTGAGGCTCAAGTTCTCTAGGATGTAGTAGAAAGCCTCAAAGTGGAAGCTGGCTTTTTACTCAGCTACTTTATGTATTAGTTTTCAGTCACTTCTCTTTCAAATGTAGCAGTTTAAAACAATACTTACAGGGCTGGGGATTTAGCTCAGTGGTTTCACCACCTGCTGCGCAAGGGCAAGGACCCGAGTTCGATCCCCAGTACCAAAAAAAAAAAAAAACTTATGTATTACATTACAGTTCCATAGGATAGAGGACTAGGCAGACCCATCTGGTTCTCTGCTTAGGGTCCCACAAGGCCAAGGCCAAGGTGTTGGCTGACCTGGATTCCTGACTGGAGACTCTGGGACAGTGCACATTCAGCCTTGGGCATGTTGTTGGCAGGAGTCAGTTCCATACAGCTGTAGGGCTGAGCACCCTGTTCCTTTACAGCTGGCAGGTGAGAGTTATGCCCAGCCTTTAGAGGCCCCCGACATTTTTTGCTTCCTGGGTCCCTTCCATGCACAAGACAGCAGTGGCAGGCTGCATTTTTGAGACATTTTAAACCTTCTTAGCTTCCCTTCCTGCCCATCTCACAGGTTCTTTTGGCTTTCTCTTTTGCCTTTAAAGGCTCATGGTTATGTTATTAGGCCCACTTGGATCATCTCCCCATTGTAAGGTCAGCTGATTGGTAACTTATCTGCAAAGACCCTTTTGCTATACAGTACAACACATTCCCTGGAGTAAGACCAAGGGGCCAGGCCTGCCTAACACACTTTAATCAAGAGTTCCTGGTTTTAGATTTCTCTTTCAGAATCTGGATTATCAATATATTTTAAAAGATTATTTTATTCACCATTTTAGTTGTTTCCAGTGGAAGAGCCATTCAAGGTATTTAGTCTGATAGTGCTAGAAACTAACTCCACAATTTCTTTTTAATTGGGTATTTCAAATCACTAGATTCTAAGCCAGGCGTGGTACCGCTCACCTGTGATCCAGCGCTCTGGAGGCTGAAACAGCAGGAGGATTGCTGAGAGTTAAAGGTCGGACTGGGCTACATAGTGAGTTCAAGGCCAGTCTGAACTACATGAGACCCTGTCCCCCCAAAAAATCACTAGATTTTAGTACAGTCCTTAGATAAGAACACCATATGTTACCCTAGTAACTGATTAAACTCTTAAAATCAATACATCTTTTGTTTTGTTAGCAGGTATTTGCCAGATATCTACTGTATGCCAAGTACTTTTTTAGGAATGGGGTTGTAGGTACAAATGTCAGCCAAAGTTCCTGCCCTTCTGGGGCTTGCCTTCAAATGAATAATCATGAAGAACCTAGAAAGACAGAATTACCTCAGAATGCCTGAGAAAGCTCAGGCTCAGGCTTGGGAGATCTTGGTTCTTTGTGTCTCAGCGGTTGACAAACTGCTGCTTGCTCGCTGCTCCTCCTGGCCCTTTCCTCCTGAGGTGGAAAAGAAAACTGCTGTCTTCTCCCCAGTTCTCTTCCTCTCCCCTCATTCACTGGGCGTGTCCTCTTTTACAGTTCTCCCTCACAAGTCTCTCCGAGCGATAATAAAGGAAGGGGTACAGTAAACAGAAAGTTGAAATTGATGAATATTTTATAGTGATTTACCGAGATAGATTATATAACTTTTAAAGTAGAAACTAGCAAAAGTTACATATTTAAAAAATATCATAATACCATTTTTTAAAAAGGTCTGCTTATAAACTGAACAGTGTTTAGCTCAGGAGAGATGTATCGGCTGGGCCCTATAAAGTACACTGGCTTCTATAAGAAGCAGTATGGAATTGAAAGGCATTTGGGTAAAACCTGGAAGTTTTTGTTTTATTTTTCTATCAAGGTAGAAAAGCTCCTCACATTATGTGGTTTTGGGAGGGGGTACCAGAGATCGAACTTGGGACCTTACATTTGGGAGGCAGACGAGTGTAACACTGAGCTAAGTCCCCGGCTCCAATTATGTGATTTTTATAAAGAAAAGCAAAAAGAACTGCTCAAAGTCTGCCTTACAGAGATTAGAGTTACTTAGCTCAAAGAAATTGCAAGATTTGAAAGAGAGGCTAAATATGACCTGCAGTTGGTTTCCTATTTTCCTATGTTCTGTGCTTTGGGGATGGTGCCACTCCATTCCTTCTGACAATATTTCCTGAACACTGAAATGGTTCTGGTTCTCTTCCAGGTCCCTGATACCTTAGAGCTTACTCTTAAGTAGATATAGACAAATACATGTCTCAAATATGTGTTAAATTCTGCTAAGTACTATGAAAAAAAATAAAGCAGAGTGAAAGATGTGGTAGTGTCAAGTGAAGGAGAGTGAGAGCAGTGTGTTACGGGGTGATGATATTTCAGTGGAAACCTGACCGTGTGAGGGAACAGTGCTCTGTTCTCTAGGCAGAGGGCCTGAGGGAGGGGCATGCATGTTTAAAAATCACCAAGGAAGCTGGGCATGCTGGTGCACACCTGTGATCCCAGCACCCAGGAGGCCACAAGTTTGAGTCCAATCTGGGCTCCATGGTGAGTTCACAGCCAGCCTGAGCCACATAGTGAGACCTTGCCTCAAAAAACAAAACAGAGGGCCGGGGGATTTAGCTCAGTGGTTCCGCCACCTGCCTCACAAGTGCAAGGTCCAGAGTTCAATCCCCGGTACCAGGAAGAAAAAAAGCAGGGATGGGGATTTAGTGCAATGGCACTGTGCCTGCCTCGCAAATGCAAGGTCCTGAGTTTGATCCCTGGTACCAGGGAAAAAAACAAAACAAAAAACAACACCTAAAATCAAGGACCAAAGCTTATGTACATAGGGAGGGGAGGGGGCATGAGTGAGGAATGGGATGAAATAAAATTTATTAAATAAATGTGGAATCTCTGAAAAAAACTCTAGAAGTCTGAACAAAGCAGAACAGGTTTGGGGAATGAGATGAGAGTTGGGCTGTGGTTATACTCTGCTTAAGGTGCTTGGACAGCCACTTGGAAGTATTGACTAAGGTGTTCAAAATATGAGTTTGAGGTAAAGTGAATTAGGGTGGGAACATCTAGCAAAAGAAAAGCAGCAAGGTGGTCAGGAGATGGAGAAAAAGGGTGATGTCTCAAGCTAAATGAAAAGTGGTATAAAAAGTTTAGAGAAGGATAAACAGTGTCACAAAACTGATAGGTTTGGTAAGGCAAGGACTGAGAATTAACTGCTGGACTTGGGAGTATGTATTGTGCCGGACTCAGGAGCTGAAAGAGCAATTTAGTGGAGTTGTTAGGACAACATCCAGATTACAGCCAGCATAAAATAAACTGGTGCAACAAAGGAGAGACAGTGAATAATGACCAGCTTTGTAAAGACATTTTGTTGTAAAAAGAGGGTAGATAGCTAGGTCTTCTGGCACCCACCTATAGTCCCAGCTACTTGGAGGCTGAGACAAGAGGATCACAAGTCTGAGGTCAGCCTGGACAACTTCTATAACTGGACAGCTCATAGTTTAAAAAAAAAAAGAAGGCCAGGGGTGTGATCCAGGGTAGAGCATTTGTATAACATGTGAAAGGCCCTGGGTTCAATCCCCCAGTACTACAAAGGAAAATAGAAGGTTAAAGAAAGGAAAGGAAAAGGAAAGAGGGTACAGAAATTTAGTAAAACAAAGGTGTAAAAGATACCTATTAGATACTCTAGTAGGTAGAGTATAGAAGATACTCTATTAGATTAAAAAGCATTGTTAAAATAGCACTCAAAGGTGGGGATTTAGCTCAGTGGTACTTTGCCTGCCTTGCAAGTGCAAGGTTCTGAGTTGGATCCCTGGTACCAAGAAACAAAAACAATAAAGCAGCATTCAAATCAGGGCACATACACCTGCTTGGGATGGGTTTATTTGGTCCTTTTTGTATTTTGGTCAGTTTATCTACAGATGGCTAGTAAAAGCTATGGGGAATTTTTGCAGTGAAATTAGTAATCTGGGGACAAAGCTGTAGTTAATTCTAAATACATAATCATTAGAGTATTCTTTTTATGGTGTTCGATAAATGTGCAATATCTTATTTAACCTTCCTGACATCTCTTTGAGGTACAAAATAATTATCCTCAATTTATAAAGAGGAAATTGAGGTATGGGGAAGTTAAATACATTTCCTCATTCATTGAATTAGGCCACACCATAGAGACTGGTCTGGTTCTGTGAGCAAGTGTGAATACATGAGATTATTGCCCAAGCATGCACATAAGCTGAGACTGCTCCCCACTGCCTGTTATTTTATCTGGGTTGAGTGCTGTGGATGTGAGTATAGCAGCCTCGGCAGACTGCTGTGTCCCTGTATTAGTAGGGATGCAATTGGGGGCTGAGGGTGTAGCTCAGTAGTAGCATCTTGCCTAGCATGCACAAGGCCATGGGTTCAATCCCCAGCACTGCCAAAAAAGAAGAGGCAACAGGAAACTATGAAAACTTTCACAGTTTTATTTTTATTTTCTGTACAGCAATCTTCAGTACATTTAAATACCTTGACAGGCTAATAATCAGTTTTGAATTTCAAGTCGGAAATGTCAGAAAGTCACAACTCCACCATTTTTAGTTTCAGATGGAAATGTGATTATAGAGACTTGAAACACTAAGTCAGCTTCAAAAAAAGAAAAATACCGAAATTATAAGAATTAATAAACAAGTAGCCCTTCCTCCCCCTTTTTAGCGTCAAATAGGGTTTTACCTTTTTCTTGAGAATAAAAATCACCCAGGCATGGTAGTGCACACCTATAATCTCATGTACTCTGAAGACTGAGGCAGGAGGATGGCAAGTTTGAGGCCAGCTTGGGCAATTTATTGAGACTTTGTCTCAATTTTTTTTTTTTTTTTGGTACCTGGAATTGAACTCGGAAACTTGCACTTGAAGGCAGGCGCCAGAAACACGGAGCTAAATCCCCAGCCCTCTTGTCTCAAAATTTTAAAAGGTCTGGGGATATAGCTCAGTGGTAGAGCTCTTGGCTACCATTGAGAGGCCCTGGATTCTCCATTATCACAAAGAAAAAAAAAATAGTCTTACTTTTGCTATTAAAATTGTTTCAAGGTTGAAAATGGCAGTAGGAATTTTTTTTTTTTTTTTTGTCCCAGGGATTGAACTCAGGACCTTCCATTTTCGAGGTAGGAAGCGGCACCACTGAACTAAATCCCCAGCCTGAGAGTAGGAATTCTTGTTTTTTGGTACCAGGGATTGAACTTGGGTCCTTGTGCTTGCACAGCAGGCGGCAAAACCACTGAGCTAAATCCCCAACCCCTGGAATTCTTTATAAGTGTAGTTACTAGGTTCTGTATGACTCCAGATTTCTTTTTCTTTTTTTTTTTTTGGTACCGGGGATCAAACTCGGGTCCTTACACTTGCACAGCAGGCAGCGAAACCACTGAGCTAGATCCCCGGCCCCTCCAGATTTCTTTTTGATGAAATGGCTTTGTATATAAAAGCATCTCAGTTTACACAAATCTTGTTTCAAACGTGGTAGCAAAGAAGATAGTTTTATGTATGTTATAAAGAAATGGTACCACTTGAAATTGATCTCAACTAAGTATATTACAGTGCTGGCCGTCACAAACAGTTGTTAGCTGGCTGTAATCAGGGATATCATCTCGGGAAACATGAGTTGGAAGCATCAGTGTTACTATGGTTTAATTTAATGACTCAGGCTAAGGTTTACAAAATGAAGTTACTCTTGTAGCACTAACTAGACAGCTTGCCTGTTATTAGTAGAAAGCTTCATTGATAATAAAAAAAGTTTCCCTTATGTTTGTTGTGTTATCAAAAAGTTTTTTTCTTTTTCTGGATCAGGGTTCCAGTTGAGCCACCTTCTCTCTTGTCACTATCACCAAGCCACAATCAGGTAATTTTTAGTTTGTTTCTTTATTTATTTTTGCTGTTTTAATTTTGATTTTTAAAAACTTAGATGGTTTTCTTTTATAATACTTAAATTGCCACTTATCTCTAAACTTTACTACTTGTCTTCTCTGTTAATACAGTATATGCACATGATACTTGCTGTTAACAGTGTTTTCAGACGCCCTAACCCTAACTGCAATCCCACTTTTGTATGCAAAATGATTCTTTTGTTGCAGCTTCCACACACAGACTTGGAAGTGCACCGGAGAAGAGAACAGTTGGTAGAACGTGCTCGGAGAGAAGCACAGCTGGCAGCCCTGCAATACGAGGAGGAGAAAATGAGGACCAAGCAGATTCAGAGAGAGGCTGTCCTGGACTTTGTCAAGGTGAGGCATTTGAACTCATCACTGATACTCTAAAAGTAATTTAGTGACTTAGCGAGACCTTATCTCAAAATTTAAAAAAAAAATTTTTTTAACAGGTTGGAAATGTAGCTCAGTACAGAGGCCCTAGGTTCAATCCCCAGTAGTGGCAGAAAGGGGAAGACTAATTTTTATATAGCCTCTCAAAAACTAAGCAAAATTCTGTATTGGTTTATGTAATCTTTTTTTTTTTTCGTTCTGGTAATCGAACTTGGGACCTTGCGCTTGCGAGGCAGGCAGCGGAACCACTGAGCTAAATCCTTGGTGGTCTATGTAATCTTTATAATAGGGAAAGATGAGAATGTTCATGTTTCACAAAGAAAGAAGCTGCCATTCTAGGAAAACCAATCAATGTAGTCATCACAGTTAATTAGTTTTCAATCAGAAGACAAACCTAAAGCTGAGCTTGGTCGTGCATCCCTGTAATCCCAGCACTCGGGAAGCTGAGGCAGGAGAATCACGAGTTGGAGGCCAATCTAAACTACAGAGTGCAACCCTGTCTTAGGGAAAAAAAAAAAGACAAACTTAAAAATTTTAAAGCCTAACTTATTCCCTTGTTCATTTATTGATTTTGAGTGAGTGAGGGTTGTTTGTTTTGTTTTGCATTGAGACAGGGTCTCACTTTTTAGTTCAGCCTAGCCTGAATTCACTGTGTAGCCCAGGCTGAACTCAGACTTGCAGCCATCCTCCTGTCTCAGCCTCTCTCGAGTGCTGGGACTCCAGGAATGCATCACCTTGCCCTGTTTATTTATTGATTTAACAGACCTTTATGGAGTCCTGGTTATATGCCTGTACAAGGAATATAAAAATGCATAAAATACAAGTTCTGTCCAACAGGACAGTTTAGATCATGTCATAAATGAATGAGTGAATAACAGCTTATTAGTAAAACACTGATTTTAAGTCAAAGATGAGGGAAGAGTATCATCAGACTTGACCTCAGAAGGAGATGCTAGGGAACTCGAGAATGGAATGGAGGTGCTTCATTGTTTTGAGCACCCACCCTCCACTCTTAAATTAAATCCTTCTATGCCTCTTTTTTAATCAGCTGGGTATGGTGGTGCATGCCTATAATCCCAGCACCAGGGAGGCTGAGGCAGGATTCCCATTAGTTCTAGGCTACATAGTGAGTTCTTGGGCAGCCTGAACTACATAGTGACACCCTGTCTCAAAATACAAAAAAACAAACAAAAAATGGAATGACAGGCCGGGGATTTAGCTCAGTGGTTCTGCCGCTTGCCTTGCAAGCAATAAGGACCCAAGTTCGATCCCCGGTACCAAAAAGAAAGGAATGAGTAGGCATTGTACAGCTAGGAAGAAAGGAACAGTTAAAAAATGGGTTCATTCCATGGGGATTTAGCTCAGTGGCACTGCACCTGCCTTGCAAGCGCAGGGTCCTGAGTTCAATCCCCAGGACCCCCCAAAAAAGCCAAAAAAATGGGTTCATTCCAGATTGAGGGAATAAATCAGTCAGGAGCTAGGAATAAGCTCATACAACTTGTTTTGTTTTGTTATGTTTAATTTTATTTTATCCCATTTTCCCCCCTTAATCCCCCTCCCCTCCCTAAATACAAAAGCTTTATTTCCATTTTATTCCTTCTATTTTGAGTTTTTTCTTGTCACTTCCTTCCTTCCTCCCTCCCTTCTCCCTTGTTCCCCTTCCTATTTGAACACTTTCTTCCCATTTCCCAACATCCATTATACATCTCGGTCCTTATTTCCACATTCATTTTCTCACGACAGAGAAACAATGCGATATTTAAACATATGTGTCCAATTTATTTCACTTAAGAGTATGGTCTCAAGGTCCATCCATTTAGCTATAAATGTCTGAAGTTCATCCTTCTTTATGGCAGAGTAGTACTCCATTGTATAAAAAAACCCATATCATCTTTATCCACTCATCAACAACTTGTTATTTAAAATAATGATACTGGGCCGGGGATTTAGCTGAGTGGTTATGCCGTCTGCTGAGCAAGTGCAAGGACCCAAGTTCAATCCCTGGTATCAAAATAAATAAATAAATAATAAAATAATGATACTTAGCTGGGCATGGTGGCACACAGCTGTAGTCCCATTATTTGAGAGGCTGAGGCAGGAGTAACCCTAAGACTTTGAGACTATCCTGGGCTACATAATGAGTTCAAGGCCAGCCTGATCTTAAAAAGACCCTGTTTCAAAAAAACCAAAAATAAATAAAATAATGGAAGGAAATACCAACTTGATTAGAGTTTGTGTTGATGAAAAATAGAAAAAATAAGTTGATGAGATGGTTAAGATGATGATAATAATACTTCCTAAAATTTACTGAATGCTTACTATATACCCAAGGTGCTGTTCTAAGAACTTTATATGTTAACTCATTTAATTCCCAGTAGTCTTATAAAATAGATACAATTATTTTCTTGTTGTGATAGCAGTTTGCCTAAGGCTAAGGTTAAATACTCAGCTAGTAAGTGGGTAGGGGCCATCCCCTGCTCTGACCCCAGTACCAATTCTGCCTCTCAGGAAATGATACGACTGACACTTAGATACCCCAGGTGCTGTGTGTTTTACCTAAGTTAATATTTAGCTTGCCTTTGTAGAAGTTCCCTAGCTAGTAAGAGCTACTCACCCTGCAGACATTCATGGATGCATGTTAGATTAGAGAGTGACCTTGATCTGTTAGGCAGAAGAAACAGAAATTTTTAAGTAGGAGAAAACAGGAGAAGAGATACTTCTGCAAAAGTAGTCTACTCATGTTATAACAGGTTGGGAAGAAAGAGACGAGAAGGAGGAAAGTAGAGTAGAAAGTAATTGCAATAATTAGACAGTGCTGCAAAATAAAGGCATTAAAGTGGATGATTCCTAAAATGCCAGAGAGCTGGTAGTGTTGCAATACTGGCAGGAGCTGGGAGTCAGAAATATCTGAATTTTAATCCACCTTTCCCACTCACTATGTGCTTGACTTTGCAAAAATTACTGAGCTATTTTGTGCCTTGAGTTTCCTCATATGTACACTATTTAACAATTAAATGTTAACTATTTCAGAATTATTATACATGTTCCTAATAATACTAGTATGGTAGCTGCTGTGAGTCTAGCATTGTGGGAATAATGTACAATTTGGAATCAGGAGACAGGTATAAATCTCATTTATGCTACTTACCAACTTTGTGACCTTGTATTTCTCCCACAACTTGATTTTTCATCTCTAAGCAAATGTAATTATGATATTTGTTTATTTCACAGAGGAAGAAGACAGGGAGGTAGGTTTTGTAGAGATGGGAAAGGAGATCTAAGGATGGGACAGAGGGCCAGGAGGGGAAGGGGAGGTAAAAATGATGAAGATTGCTTTGTATATGTACCAGCTGTCCAAGAGGAATATAATTATTACCCATCTCAAATACATACCAGAAAAAAAAGATATACTGTGTGTAAAAACACATTATAAAACACTAAGTACAGTGTCATGTTGGACATTGAATGTGGGTTGATAGTAGGGTTTCCACCTAGAGTGCACAGCCTGTTGAGAATACCTGAGATTCAGCTGGTAGAAAGCTAGAGCTGTTAGCAATAGCATGGTATTTAAAGGGGTTAGAATGAGTTCATTGAGAGAAAACAGGGAGGGTTCAATTGATGTGTGTGTATGTAGGTATACATACAAGTTTTTAAAAATTTCTGCTTATGAATGCTTATAGAATACAATGGTACAGGCTGCCAGTGGTGGTATACACCTGTAATCCTAGCACTTGGGAGGCTGAGGCAGGAGGATCACTGCGAGTTTGAACCCAGCCAAGGCTGCATAGCAAGTTCGACACCAGCCTCAACTCCAAAGCGAGATCTTGTCTCTCACACACACACAAAACTTAAAATATTCAGTGATACAGTTGTGGGATTTTTTTTAAATTTAAATTGTAACATACTGTACTTAAGGCAAATCGTAGCCTACTGTACTTACTACATCTTAAGTAGTAAATCTAGAAAAGTATTGTATTTAAGAAATGAAGAAATAGGGCCGGGGATTTAGCTCAGTGGTTTTGCCACCTGCTGCGCAAGGGCAAGGACCCGAGTTTGATCCCCAGTACCAAAAATTAAAAAATAAAATAAAAAGAAAAAAAAGAAATGAAGAAATAAGTGTGATTAGTAAACAAAACTTATCATTTCTAGTAACCTACATTCTAACCAACTTCCCTTTTGGCTTTGGGGATCTAGCAAAAAGCATCACAAAATCCACAAAAACAACAATCCCCGATGGATAATGAGGTAAGTCTGTGCAATCACCTTTTCTTTGGAATTTATTATTTTTCCCATGGAAGTGAAATGTGCATGTGATTATCCTGTTTTCAGTGGTCAGAATATTGCCATATTCTTTCCATCACAAAATTCTACTTACAAAGAAAAGATGATGTAGGCGGGAGAGTTGTGTCAGAAGCCAGAGGTCTAGTCCGGTGTGGTGGCTCATGCCTGTAATCCCACCACTCAGGAGGCTGAGGCAGGGGAATCACCATGAAATCAAGGCCAGCCTGGGCTACATGGTGAGTTCAAGGCCATCCCAAACTACATAGTGAGACCTGTCTCCCCCGCCAAGACAAGAAAAAGTTATGAGTCAGGATTCTATCTCATCTGCCCATGCACCCTTCCCAAAGGCTCTCTCACCCTCCCTGGCTCTGCTGGCTACACCAGGCCCTTCTCACCCATTGCAGTGTCCAGGTCATGAGAGAGAATTCTTAGACCTGCATCTAATGTGTGTGACTAATGTTGCTATTAAACAAAAAGACTCCAGATTTCACCTTCAGTGGTTATTTCAGTGTTATCAGTTAAAGTCTGTGCACATTAGTTTTATAATATTAGCCAGTCCTGAGCACAGTGGCACACATCTATTAATCCCAGCACTTGGGAGGCTGAGGCAGGAGGATTGCCGTGAGTTCAAGCCCAGCCTAGCCTACATAGCATGACCCTGTCTCAAAAAAAAGATATATACAGTACATTTCATTATGAATAAATGTGTGATATTAATTAATATTAACTGCTTAACCTTTTAAAAATGTATGCATTTACTTTGGTCTGAAGAAATGAAGCTTACTGGGCCAGGGATTTAGCTCAGTGACACCTCACCTGCCTTGCAAGTGCAAGGTCCTGAGTTCCATCCCTGGTACTGCAAAAAAAACCCCAAACAAACAAAGAAATGAAGCTTACAGAATGAATTCTAATATAGTTGATGTTTTAACTGACTATTTCTCTTTACTTTTAACCTTATAATTTTTTCAACTTATGATTCTCACTTTAAAAAATACATAAAGACATTGTTTTGTGTCAATTTTAACTTTGCCTCAGAAGGTTTTTAGGTAGTGAGATCATATTTGAAGTTGTTTAAACTCTTTGGAAGAAAATCAGGGCTCAGAATTAATTTATTGGCTATTGCAGTGCATTGGTGTAGATGATTGTGAATGTGGTCCCTGTGTCAGCATCTTCAAGAATGTGGCTTAATATATCTCTGTCCTCGTGGGTGTTTGTTTGAAATGCATTACTTGTGTGCGTAGTTTGCTTTTGACATTGCTTCATTTTTCTCCACCTCTCCAGTGTCCCTTCCCACCCAGAAGGTCTCAGCACACTGATGATAGTGCCTTGTTAGTGGTAAGATTTATGAAAAACGAAGTTCTACATTGCTGTGTCTGGAGATTGAAGAGCAGCTATAAATACCACATGAATACCATAAAACATGATGAGTGTCACTGCTGAAAGTTTTGTAGGAGCCAGATCTGTGTCCTTTTCTTGCCATCCATGTTACGTGGTGTTCAAGGGCTACAGATGAGATTCATAGTCTCCGTGGTGCTTCCCAAGGAAAAGCATTTGCATTAAGAGCTGTACTGGCTTTGTCTTTGTGAGGTGTAACACACTAGGGTCCTGTCACCCCTCCACACCCCTCATTGAACTTGGGACCTTGGCTTGCACCTTACCAGGCAGCTCCGGTGCCACTGAGCTACATCCCAGGCCTGGAGGCGTAACACACTATCAGCCTTTTAAACAGCTTCTCGTTCCAGCTGCACTTTATTAATTGTTAATTTGGCTCATGAGTCACCTGTGTGTTAAGTGGGTTCCCTTACTCCATGGCACTAATTATACAACTTTACATTTGGCATTTTATTTTATTGTGTATTTTAAGCTGAAATCCCAAATTTAGGTTCTAAATACTGACATCTCAAGATTATCCCTCCACTCATTTTTAGACTCAGGAAAACATTACTGGGAATGATAACTAGTGATAATTTTTAACACTAGTTTCCTTTTTTGTTTAGTTTAGTTTAGTTTTGGGGGTTTTCTTTTTTGAGATGGGCTCGCTGTGTAGCTGAGGCTGGCCTTGAACTTGTGACAATCATCCTGCCTCAGCCTCCCAAGTGCTGGAATACAAGCACACACCCAACTAACATTGGTTTACTTCTCTTTTTCTTTTTTTCTTTTTTTGGTACTGGGGATCAAACTCGGGACCTTGTGCTTGCAAGGCAGGTGCCGGAACTACTGAGCTAAATCCCCAGCTCTGGTTTACTTTTTATTGCCTTTTTCACCAACTGAAAATTACTATATCATGAAGCTCTAAAGTTTTAACTTTTATAAGCCTTGCAAGAAAATTCTCACCATTTGTAGAATTTCTTTTCCCATCATATTTTATGCTATTATTTTTATGGTAATATCAAAACCTAGCAGTTCAAAAGTCTAGTGTCTGCAGCAAGTCCTATGTTACATGCTAGAAATGCTGCCGTGTGTGTACCGTGTGAGTCGCATGCCTTGACCATCAGATTGCTGCTATGCAGCTCCCACTGTCTTATTAAAATTTCAGTATATTCTGCAAGTTTCATTTTCTTTGAGATGGATAAAGCACATTTTAACTGGGTAGATCTTAAAGATGACAACCCCTGGAATCTGGAGGGTTTTTCTGTTTTTGTTTTTGTTTTTTTGGTACTGGGGATCGAACTCTGGTCCTTGAACTTGCAAGGCAGGCAGCTGAACCACTGAGCTAAATCCCCAGCCTGGAGTTTTATTGGAAGTGAATTAGCATGAGAAGTCAAAAATACTGTAAATTAATGTAAGGAAATAGGGCCTCTAGATGCAAAAGTATCTTGCTTCTCAAGGCAAATTTAAGAGTTAAAATTAAAAATGATCACCATTCTACAGATGATTACTGAGATAGAAAATGTCTTGTCAAGGCCATATCAGTAGACCTTAGATCTGGCTGGCTCAGGACCTGCAGAAGAGACACTGTACTGTATTGCCTTCCATACTGGAACTGAACCAGTTTGTAAAAGAAAAAGTAGAGTTTGGAAAGAAAACAGCAAAATGCCCTTAACATGAAATTTGAAATAACCTTCAGCCATTCATCAAAAAGTTACACTTGTATTTTAGTTAAAAGTATTCATGTCTGACCTCCTAAGTTAAATGGCCTTTAAAAGCAAGATGTTTCTTCTAAATTGGATGGCCTTTAAAAAGCATATCTTTTCTTTTTTTTTTTGGTACCGGGGATTGAACTCGGGTTCTTGTGCTTGCTCAGCAGGCGGCGAAACCACTGAGCTAAAAAGCATATCTTGTATTTCTTTGTATGCCAAATAGTGTCCAACCAACAGTAGGCAAAGAATCCTATTTTAAATTCTGTCTCTGACCTTCTCAGAACTACTCTTCAGAGGCTTCATGTTGCTCCTATCTAAACCTCTTCCCATGGCTTCGAAGCTTTTTCGGGCTCTGGCTGCTCCCACCTCTCCAGCCTCATCTCTGGACTCACTCTACCAGCATTTTCCCAGCTCCCCAGATAGTTCAGTTCTTTCCCACCTCAGAACATTCGCCAATGCTGTCCCTCCACACTGAGCCTCTCCCTCCCACAGATGCCTGGTCGATCCTCACTCAGCAGTCACGGACAGCTTAAATGTCTCATCTTTAAAGTGGCTTTTCTGTGTCCTAGCCTCAAATCAAATTTATGTCTTCCTCAGTGGTGCTGCACCTGCCTCGCACGTGCAAGGTCCTGAGTTCAATCCCTGGTACCAAAAAAAAGGAAACAAATTTATGTCTTCACTGTTACTTTTTAGTTTTTTATATATTTTTATTAGTGTATATTAATTTTACAAAATATTGGCTTTCAGTGTGCTATTTTTATATATGTATATAACAGTTTGATCAAATCCACCCCTCTATTACCCTTCCTTATACCCCTACCTCCTCCCTCTTCTTTCCGTCTCTTCCCTTTCCCTTCACTGTTTATGAAAGACATTAGATTCAAAGAAAAGGAGAATTCTGCCTTACTCTCCTATAGTCATTTGGAATCCACAGAGGCAGAAGTGAAATGCTAATTTTTATGGCAAAACATTTATCGGTACATTTTAGACATACATAATAACACTCATCACAGGGAATTTGCGCCTGTACAAGATACCTCCTGTCTCTTTTTTTCCCATTCCCTCCTCTCCTCAAGCTCCCTCCCCTGCCTATGTTCAGAAGCTTTGTTTCCATTTTTACCTTCTATGTGAAATGCTAATTTCATCCTTAGGTATGATGTAGGTTCCTCCTATTCTGTCCTAACCAGCAGAGCTTTGAGTTGAATTATAGCCAATCTAATTTGGATTAATATTGAGAAAATGCTGTTCTGATTCACCCTAGCTCTGCTCCTTGACTAAAATTGTTTCCCATCATAGGGACAGCAGAGGACTCCATAGTTTCAAAGGTATTTTGCTAAAAATGATAATATTCTCAGGTTTATTTCTGTATAAAAATCATTGTTATTAAATGATGACTCAGTTATCGACTGATATCATGTGGGATATTGCACATATCCTGAATTATACAGGTGGAAAAACTATGTTGTATAAATATTTTCCCCAGATATTGCCTAATCTTAGTAAATATTTTAAAATTTGTCAGTGACCTTTCCTTTTCTAATTTCATTGATCAGGTAGGCCCACTTGACATTTTGCTAACCTAAATGCTGCCTTCTGTTTCTTCTCTTTCTCTTTTGAAATTTAGTCGCTGTCAGGGTTGAATCAGGTGGACTGTGCTGCTACCCTGCCTCATTCTGCTGCCTTCATGCCTCTTAAGGTATCTCTTGTTACATTAATTCTCCAGGAAATTTGGGGAGGGAGTGTACAAGGTAGGTCTTAAATTTCCCAGTGGATTGGTTTTACAGCAATCTGAAATCTAGGATTGTGTGTAATATACACATACTGTCAGGTGTGGTAGTGCATACCTGTAATCTCATCATTCAGGAGGCCGAGGCAGGAGGATCTCTATGAGTTTGAGGCCAGCCTGGGCTACATAGTGAGTTCAAGACTGGTCTGAAGTACATGGTGAGACCCTATCTCAAAAAAAAAAAGAAAAGAAAGAGACGTACATACGTACATATGCTTATGAAACTCTGAGTTTAACATTGATTTCACAACACACACACACACCCCCGCTTGGTACTGGAGTTTGAACTCAGGACCTTGTGCTTGCAAGGCAGGCACAGCACCACTGAGCTAAATTCCCAGCCCACAAAAAAATTTTTGATGTTATATCATGCCAGAAATAGTCATAAAGCCTGCATTAAGTCCTTACATTCAGATTTTGTTTGAAATGTCATTCTCATTTTGCTATTCAAGTTTATTTTTTTTAGTCATGAGTTACTTAGCTGTGATTAATATATAATATCAAATTAACTGTGTTGTCTTATATGCATAGAGAATAATGAATCTCAGATTAAAACTAGCACTGCCCAAGCCTCCACAGTAAGTCAGCCAACTATGGCTGCGGGCCACTTGTTTTTATAAATAAAGTTTTATTGGACACAGCCAATCCTTTTTATTATCTGTGTTTCACAGTGAACAGCAGAGTTGGAATAGTTGTGACAGAGATCATAATGAGCTGCACACCTAAAACATTTACTGACTACAAGAAAAAGAAGATCAATCCTTGCTTTATGTCAGCAGCAATGTCATAAGAGATGCTAAATTCCACCTTCTGGAAAAATTAAATCTAAACTCTCAAAATTAAAGCTGGGTGTATACATGCCTCTAATCTCAACACCTTGGAGGCTGAGGCAAGATCACCAAAAGTTCGAGGCCAGCCTGGGCTTTGTAGTGAGATTCTGTCTCAAAAAAAAATCAGTAACTAACTCTAACTCTAGAAATTAACCTGTAGTATTTTATCTTTCAAAGACCTCTGGAAATGGTAATTCCACATTTGTCATCATAGAATACATAAGAAATGATTAATAATTCTCACTGTGAAAAGGTCCTCCTCTAGTCTAACATATCTATGCTGCTGTGGTTCACACTGATTTCTTCTTTTCTTTACAGTTACTTATCAGTCTGCATGTAACCATCTTTGTGTATGAAACTGCTGTAATCCCATAGATGACTTCTCCCTAGATAAATATGCCTTTCCCAACCTGTTAACCTTTCATGATGTTTATAAGTGCCCTGCTCTCCCTTTTGGCACCACAATCCACAACTAGAAGTATAACCCAGCAGACCTTCACATGTCTTACTTTGCATGTCAGTTTTTGGTTGCTTTTCCAGTTACTGATGTTCATTTTGTTCAATATCTACTATAATTCTCATTGTTCTTGTTGTACTCCAAGATTTCTATATCTTGTATTTTTTGTCGTTCCTAAATATTTAATTTTTCTGTGTGAAATTTTTGCTTCTCCAATTTACTAGAATACTTTCAAATTCTTGCATCATACTGACCCCTCAACTTTGTAACATCTGTTAACCTGATGAACCTTTTTTCTCATCAGTTATTGAAAGTGCTACATATACCGAGATGAGTCCTGAGAAAACTCTATCTGTAATTCTCTTCCATGGTAACCTTTTGCTAACCTTTTTCAGTTGGGTCCTTACTTGTACAACATAGAAAATTATTTCAGCAACCAGGTGTATTGGTGGATCCCTCTAAACCCAGCACTCAGGAGGCAGGAGAATGTGAGTTTGAGGCCAGCCTGGGGTTCATAGTGAGTTCAAGCCCAGCCTGGACTACATATTTTAAACCCTATCTCAAAAAAAAAAATTTATTTCAGCAATTTTTTCTCCAGAACTCTCTCAACGAAGAATCAGTTTATTTAGGGAGAAGTGCAGGTATACAGGTAATATTACTCTACGTGTATAAGAGAGAAGTGGATTCATTGTCTCAAGGGAGACCTTGGACATTGGGACTTATTCTGTCTCAAAGTCACAGTTAAGAAAGGCCAGATACGAATGTACCAAAAGTTGTGGGATCTGGATCATATTTTCTCTATAAAAAGTGTTTCTCATGTGAAATTAAGTCGGAAACTTTACTAGATTTAAGATAGATGTTAAGTCTAACTTTTCTTCTATCAGACCTGCTAAACAGGCAGATAATTGGTTTTCAGATTTTATCTTTATTTTTGCAGCAGTTATACACTGTATTTATGCATAATTTTGTTTCTTTTGTTGCTCAGCTAGGCTTAAAAATTGCATTCAGAGCTGGGTGTGGTGGCACATGCCTGTAATCCCAGCTCTCGGGAGGCTGATGCAGGAAGATTGTTACAAGTTCAAGGCCAGCCTGGGCTACATAGTGAGTTCAAGACCAGCCTGAATTATATAATGAGAACCCTGTCTCAAAAACCTTAATAAAAAATTAAGAAGAAAGAGAAAGAAAAGAAAAAGTTGAATTTATATCAGTTTGAGATTATTCTCCAACCATTTTTTGCTCTGTAGTTTTCCAAGAATCCCCAAATATAAATAGTCCCAGAGTGATCTGAACTAATTATTTTAGTGTCCTAGAATGCAAATCACTTAGATTTATGATTTCTTTCAGTAAAAGCATATTTTTAAAATCATCCTTTACAAGTCCCTGCCATTCTGACTTGTTTTCCTCGTGCCAATTGTGTTGTGCGTTGTGCAGGCAGACACTGCAGCTGGTTTGTGAGGTTGAGAGCATTTGCTGCCCTCGGTGTCGCTTGTTTCAGCTCTTCTCACCTGGTACATCTGCCTTTATATTTGCCTTTCTCCTTTTATTCCTCACCATGCATTTCTAGCCTCTGTACTATAAATGCAACTTTTTAAATTTTAAAAGATATTTTTCCTCTGATCTAGAAAAATAATCCCTACTTTGAATGGTTTTTGTCTGTACCAATGGTCCCTGACTGTGTCTGGTAGTGTACTTCTTTCTCCTTCCTAGCTCATACCTGTTGAAAGTCAGGGTAGTCTTTTGTTTCCTTATAAAGAATAGAGAAGTCTACATAGGAATAGACATATGTGTATATGTTAGTTTTAAAGTCATTCTTAGTTTAGAAATGTCTTAGTTATCATTTCAAAAAGTTGTATTTAAATTTAATTAGATGTCAAGGCCTTTCTTGATTCCTCTTCCCTACCAAGTCTTCAACATCTTTAATCTAACCAACAAACATTTCTCATTTGTTTAACCATATTTCCCCTTTTGGGGTAAACTTTATACCAGTTTAGCTCTTTCTGCCCCTTTTTAAAGTTCTTTTCCCCAGTGAAAACATCTTAGACTCAAATACTACTAAAGAAAATACATGTATTATCTCTTAAATGCGTTTTGCTAATTGAAATGAAAGTCTGCGTAACTCTTAAAAAATTAAATTTTACCTTCCAGAGGAAAAAATACTTTAGAAACTATTTTGAAGAAATACTATTAGAAAAAAAAGAGAGAGAGAAATACTATTAGAAAAATTTTGTTATCTTTCCTGTATATTTTTCAGTAGAATTTTCTGCCTTAGGATGATCATGTTTCAGAGTCTTTGGAAAGCCTGTGAGATAATAGGACTATCTGCAGAGAATGCATCTGTAACACAACTGAGTAAAAAGTTTATCTTTAAAAAACAATGTGCAAAAAAAAAAACTTGTGCAAAATTAATTTTAGTAAATTTTCATTTCTAGACCTAATTTTGAAGGAGAGTTGCATGGGTTTCTTTTGTTCTCATAGTCTTCGAGTTGCCATAAATGTGGAAAGCATCTGTTCCTGGATAATAACTCTTGATACATTTCTGTTCCTCTGCAGAGTGATGACAAACCTAATGCTACATCAAGTTCACCCACCGTGGAAACAGGTAATAGACACAAAGGTATAAATAAACAAATAATTCTTTACTGGGACTTTCTTGCTCAGTTACTTAGAAAACTGTCTTCATTTTCGGAGATGGATATCAGACACCAAATCAGAAATGTTCTAAACACTTTTAAAAAATCATCTAGTTGAACAACTATTTAGCCATTTAATAAGGATAAATGAACATAAACTAGCAGGGCTATAGATTTGCAAGAGACTGTGTTCAACATATGAACATCTGTTGATACACCAAAAATAACTTCAAAACTAAAAACACATGCTCCCTGCTCTATTACTTTTCTGTACCAGACTTTTCGTAATTAAAGAGAATTATCATTTTATATCATTGGCATGTTTGATTTGATTTTATCTCTGTGTGTCTGCATTATATTTAATTTGCTTTCCATCTCCTTTAATCTCATCTTGCTGTTCCAAGCTGACTTAGTTCATCATTCCACATATTCTTTTCCTGGTGCCACCCAGAGAAATCAGCCCCCACGCCCCGAGAGCTTCCTTTTCCGAGGAGCTGTCAGGGCAGAAACAAATAAAGGTAGGTGGTAATGATTTTAAAGGGTGGGACAGTGGGTTGTTTGAGGTTCCCTAATACAATGAAATTAACTGTGAACCCACTTTCACACTTCTCTACCAAGGGATAGCCTTCGCAAAAGCTTTAAAGTGTGGATGTCTGTCATCTCACTGACACTGAATCAGGAGCACCTTGTTTGAATTTGTTTTGATAAGAAAACTTCTTAGAAGCCACCCATGGTATTACATGCCTGTAATCCCAGCTACTCAGGAGGCTGAGGCAGGAGGATTGAAAGTTTGAGGACAGCCTGGGCAACGTAACAAGATCCTGCGTCAAAATAAAAAGGGTTGGGTAGCCCAGTGACAGAGCTCTGTGTTTATCATTTGTGTGATTTTCTGTTTGTATGTTACTTTCAATAAAAACATTTTTAAATGGATATAATGAAGCAAAAGCAGTTAAGCCAATGGATTATGGAAATTTCCTAGTTTTTTATTTTCTTTTGCTATTATTGCGTGTATTTTAAAATTTATGTAATAAAAACCTCCTTTAAAAAAATAAAAACCTCCTTTACAAAGTCACTCCACAAAGTCAGCATTGCTATCTATGTAAGGAAGTTGCAGTTGGGCTGGATGTGGGTACTTCGTTAGCACTGCAGTCACCTTTCTCTGTTATATATTACTTCTTATATATTACTCTGTCTGTAGGTCATGCTTCCTCCCTTCACTCATCTCCTGCACCTGCCATGGATTCTACAGAATGCATCACAAGACAGAGAGAAGAAGAGCTGAAATTAATAGATCAGCTACGGAAAGTGCGTATATTACCTCTGATTGGCATTTAAAGTGTTACTGCTCTAGTCCATATTCCTGTAATCACCTGTGCATCTGACATACAATTTTTTTTTTTGGTACTGGGGATTGAACTTGGGTCCTTGTGCTTGCGCAGGAGGCGGCAAAACCGCTGAGCTAAATCCCGGCCCCTGACATAGAATTTTTATAGAACCAGTAAGTGTCAAGCCGGGTGTGGTAGTACGCACCTATAATCCCAGCTGCTTGGGAGGCTCAGGCAGGAAGATCAGAAGTTCAAAGCCAGGGCTGGGGATTTAGCTCAGGGGTTCCACCGCCTGCCTCAATAGCACAAGGTCCTGAGTTTGACCCCTGGTACCAAAAAAATAAAAGTTCAAAGCCTGCCTAGGCAATTTAATAACTTAATGAGACCCTTTCTAAAATAAAATGTTTTAAGGGCTAAGGACGTAGAGCACTTGCCCAGCAAGTGAGAGGCCCAGGGTTCAGTCTGTGGGACCAAAAACAATGTCCATTTTGTGTTGTGTTTTGTGGCGAAAGTGAAAGAAATTGTTATTAAGGAAACTCTTTTCAACTTTTTACTAAGAAAATGAGATGGATTATTCTGAAAGCTCAATTCCTAGCTCTACTCATTTAAATTTTTCATTCCCTTCCTGCTTCAAGTTATAAAGGAATTTTATGTCATAATTTATATCATGTACATATAGATATACATAGCATACTTTACAGTACAAGATTTGCCATTTTATTTTGGACCTGAAAGAGAATCCAGATTATGTTCTCCTCCTCCTCCTCCTGCTCCTCCTGCTCCTCCTGCTCCTCCTGCTCCTCCTGCTCCTCCTGCTCCTCCTCCTCCTCCTCCTCTTCCTCCTCTTCCTCCTCTTCCTTCTCTTCCTCCTCCTTCCTCCCTACTTCTTCCCCCTTCCTCCCTCTTTCCCTTCTTCTTACCCCCTTCCCCCTTCTCTTCCTCTTCCTCCTCCTCTCCTTCCTTCTTCCTTCTTTCTTTTTTTTTTTTCTTGATTTTTTTGAGACAGGATCTCCTTATGTAGTCCAGTCCACCCTCAAGATCCTGCCTCAGCCTCCCTAGTGTGTGTACCACCATGCCTATCTTTTTTTTTTCTTTCTAACCAGAAAATTGTCTCTGAAATTCTGTTGTACTTGGCACTATATACAGTCTGACTGCCATACATATATATTGGATCTCCTTAAGTTATTGACTTGGGAGAAGGATAAAATAGATTGTGGTACTTAATTCCTTTTTTTTTTCTTTTTTTTTTACTTTTTATCTTGACTTCTAGTTAAATGTTTTCTGTTGCAACACTATTATGTCTTATGTGTTAATTACTCTTCAGTGACTATATTATGTATTTTCCTGTTTCAGCACATTGAGTACCGGTTAAAAGTCTCTCTGCCTTGTGATCTTGGAGCGGCTCTAACTGATGGTGTTGTTCTTTGCCATTTGGCCAATCATGTGCGGCCTCGATCTGTCCCAAGCATTCATGTTCCCTCACCAGCTGTGGTAAGTTTTTAATGCTAAAAAACATTAGCTGTTCATCAGACCTTTATTGAACAGTTGGCAGTCGTTGTGCTGGATGTTAGGGAGGCAGATTTAAAGAGTCCATTCCCCTGCCTTCATCCCACTTCTACTAGAGATAAAAAGACATGAAAACAATAATTTATAGCAGTGTGGTAAATGTTAGAACAGATGTGTGAGAGGCATGCTCTGGATATACAAAAAACTCTGCCTCCAGAGTTCAGGAAAGCCTTCATTGAAAAGGTAAGATATGAACTAAATCTTAAAGCTTGAGCAGGAATTTGCTCAAGGCAGAGGAAGAGGAAGACAGTCTAAGCATTGTATTCCTAGATTCCACAGCTAAGGAAGAGACTGGGGTGTAGCTTGGTAGAGCTCTTTCCTGTCATGCACAAGGTCTTGGGGAAGGGGAGGTCTCAACATATTCAAGGAATTGTTAAGTTGTTCAAAATGAATCATACATTGACCAGGGATTTAGCTCAGTAGTTCTGCTGCCTGGCCAGAAAGCGCAAGGACCTAAGTTCAATCCTCAGTACCAAAAAAAAAAAAAAGAATGACTAAACAAAATGGATCGTACACGAAGTATGGGTGCAAACAGCAATGGAAGCTACAGAGGAAAGCCAGGGGCCGTGTTACCAAGGTCTTATGGGGATGTCAAGGACTTGGAAGATGTCTTAGTGTAGATGATGAGGAAACCCTGAAAAAATTTAAGGAGGGGAAGGAATACTATGATTATAATCACAGTTTAGGACAGCTCTAGCTGTTAAGTGACACATGGAGAGATGAGATGTTGTAACACTGGAAGAAAGGTGCCCGAATGCTGGGCTTGGTGATGCACACCTGTAATCCCAGTACTGAGGAAGCTGAGGCAGGAAGATTGCCGCAAGTTCAAGGCCATCCTGGGCTACATAGTGAGTTCAAGATCAGCCTGAACTACAGAGCAAGACCCTTGAGAGAGAGAGAGAGAGAGAGAGAGAGAGAGAGAGAGAGAGAGAGAGAGAAAGATTGATACAAGACACAAGACACACAGGGAAGAAGGCCACTTGAAGACAGAGACTGGAGTAATATGGCTACAAACTAAGGAATGCC